TAACAACCAGGTTACACTAGCAAATATTTATGCCCTAATGTTGATGATGCAGGTTTTATTAAATCATTTATATCCTCTTTACCTAATATGGACACCCATAAACTGATGATTTTAATTTCGTTTTGGATCCTACGACAGATGTTTCCAGGGGCGGACTCAAGCTGTGATCGATGTGGCCAGAATTCTGCCTCGTTGTCACATGTTTTGGACATGTCCTAATATCGCCACCTGCTGGTCTAAATGTTTTTAAAAAACAGCTCCCACAGACACAGTAATGGCACTTTTTGTGGCACCATATCTGCTCCAAGATTTTACACATTGGTCTGGGCAGGTGGGGGGGGGGGGGGGGGGGGTTTGTTTTTTTCTCCCCCTCCTTTGTATATACTTATTTAGGTATATGTATGTATAGACACAGATATATGATTGCTTATATAATGGTAATTATACTTTATGTAAAAGGAGAGGAAGGAAGGGAAAACTCTGTCACTGTAAATGAGGCACAATTAAACCCAATATTTAGCTTCATCATTAGGATTTTTATGCGTGACATCTGTTTGTAGACTTATAGAATTGTATGTAATTATACATGTATGTTGTATGTTGAGGTAGGATCAAATGAGTTTACCTTTAAGTCTGTTTGTACCAACCCTTTCTTTGTCTCACTGTTGTTTAAAGTGTATTTTGTTGTTATTTTAGTCATGTTCAAAATAAATCAATCATTCAGTGACAAATAAAATCAAATAAATAAAAATAAACAAGGCCTGACTCCTACCTAACTCTTTTAAGCCAGGCACTTCCACCTCCGCTCGCTGTGTCTCAGCCACCATCGCTCTGGCAGACAGAGCGCTAGAGCCAGAGCAGGGGAGAGCTGGAACAAACCATTTTGGAAGGGAGGGGGGGTTATCTATACTTTTGTTGTTAAAGTGTTACGTCTCAAACAAGTACAGCACTGTATGCTTTTTATATTTTTAGTAGTGTGTCACACAAACAGCAAATATTGTAAAAAAAAAAAAAAAGAAGTAAGAAATCTTTGGGGGTGCTTTGATTCATTTTGGGGAATCACTGAAGCACCCCCAAAAATGGGCTAAAATCGCCCCTGGTACGACCATTGGAGATGTGAGCAGGACAGACGGAACTTTGTTTGCAAAACTCAGTTACTTTTTTGAAGAAGTAACTATATAATTAATTGCCCAACATTGGTCTTTATATCCTGTATTTGCAGACAGAGTTACAGACCCTCTCCCACAGAGTCAGACTCATAATACAGTCAGAGCTTTATAACAAAAAAAAAAACAAAGTTGTGTTTTCAAAATTGCAGTTGAAGTTATTTTTCCTTCCAACAGTGTTAACATGCTGCACAGGTCATGAACAAGATTTTTGTTTTCATTGTAAGTGGGATAAAGCAGTTAATTAAAAGTAGTCTAACATAAGGCCAGGTTTGAGAACAACACAAACCCAAGGCAGGTCTGGGAGGGCATCAGGGCTATCACGGACTACAAAGAAGAACACCATCACCCTCAGCCGACAGTTCTACTCTGGCTGAGGATCTAAATCTCTTTTATGCCCGTTTTGATAGGGAGAACACCGACCCTGTCCTGTCCCCTCTCCCCTCAACCGACCCTGCTCCGGTCCTGAGCACTCATGAGCTGAGGCGTGTGTTCCGGAGCATTAACACCAGGAAGGCGGCCGGGCCGGATGGAGTGCTGGGCCGGGTGCTAAAAGACTGTGCTGCGGACCTGGCGGACGTCTTCACCTCTATATATAACACCTCGTTGTCCTGTTCACTGGTACCATCCTGTTTCAAAGCAGCAACCATCATTCCCATCCCAAAACAGTCAAATGCCACATGTCTGAACGATTTCAGACCTGTGGCACTCACCCCATTCCCGCCAAATGCCTGGAGAGACTGGTCATTAAACACATCAGAGCTGCTTTTCCACCATCCCTGGACTCGCACCAGTTTGCATACAGGGAGAACCGGTCAACCGAGGATGCGATCGCCACAGTGCTGCACACATTACTGAAGCACTTGGAACACAGGAACACCTATGCACGGCTCCTCTTTGTAGACTACAGCTCGGCTTTTAATACCATCCGGCCATACAAACTCCGTCCCAAACTCCACCAACTGGGACTTAACTCCTCTCTGTGCAACTGGATTGTGGACTTCCTCACTAACCGTAGACAGAGTGTCAGAGTGGGTAAGAACACCTCTTCCATCCTTGTGGTCAACACCGGTGCCCCTCAGGGGTGTGTTCTGAGCCCTCTGCTATACACTCTCTTCACCCATGACTGTATTCCTCCTGCGCGTCCAATCTCATTGTTAAGTTTGCAGATGACACTACAGTGCTCGGACTTATATCCAACAATGATGAGACAAACTATAGGACAGAGGTGCAACAACTAGAGTCATGGTGCCACGACAATAACTTGGTCTTAAACACCAAAAAGACCAAGGAGATCATTGTAGATTTCCGGAAGAGGGGCCATAACAACCATCTGCCTCTCTCATTGGCAGTGAGGCGGTGGAGAGGGTGAGCAGTTTTAAATTCTTGGGGGTAACTGTGACCGAGGACCTGTCCTGGGGCAACCATATCACCTCAGTTGTACGGAAGGCCCAACAGCGCCTCTACTACCTGAGGAGACTGCGGAGCGCACACATTCCCAGATCTCTGATGTTGAACTTCTACAACTGTGCCATCAGCAGCGTTCTGACGTATGGATTTCTAGTGTGGTTCCCCAGCTGCACCAAGGCCGATCAGCAAGCACTCCAGCGGGTGGTGAAAGAAGCTGGCAGAATTATTGGAACAAGTCTGCCAGAGATCAGTAATATCTTCCCCACTCGCTGTCTGAGGAGGGTGCACAGTATCCTGCGGGACCAACATCACCCTGCGCGCCACCTTTTCCATCTGCTGCCCTCAGGGAGAAGGTACAGGTCTATACAGGCCAGAACATCCAGACTGGCCAACAGCCTGTATCCACAGGCTGTGAGGCTCCTGAACTCTCTGCCCCCCTCTCACGGACAATAACCATATCCAACTTCTTAATAGCAATGAACTGGTCTGCATTGGTGCATCATATCTTTATTCTCTTCCCCCTCCTGCCCCCCCCCCCCCCCCCCCTCTTTCTTAAATAGATAACTATCATATCTGATATCATATCTCACAGTACAATAATATTGAATGGGTTGCATTGTTGTATTTTGTCATGTTTCTCAGGTCTTTGTCTGAATTTCTACGAACATTATTGCTAAGGATTGTCTTATTGCATTGGAGTCACACTGGGTTAAATATGTACACTTGGGTTTTAAGGGTATTTATTATTTTCTTCTTTTTTTGGGTTGTATGGAAGCCCCAAACGCAATTTCATTGTTCTTGACAATGACAATAAATAAATAAATACTAAATACTAAAAAAATGTAAATGCTGTAATTGTTATTTTAATAAACATGTAACTTGGATGCTGGCGTGACCACAGTGACCACGTCTGCTGTCGCTCACCCTGGTCCAAGGGCCGCTCAGGGAGTTTGTGTGTTCAGACACATGAAACATTAGAGGGAACATTGGTCACCACCACACTTTAGTCTGTGGATTCGTTAACGTTAGCTTATAGTTGTTTCTGGAGCATAAATACACAACTCAGACAGGTAGAAGCTCGCTGTTAACTGACTTAGAACCAAAAAGTAGGATGTTAAATTAGACAGGAACAGGGAGGCCAGCGCTGGGGTTACAGGCTCCTTAGTGCCCGTCAGCAGGCGAGCAGCTGCATTTGGACCAACTGGAGATCATGAAGAGAGGCCTGGTCCAAACCAAAGTACAGAGAACTGCAGCAGTCCAGTCTGCAAGTAATGGACACATGAATAACACGTTCACAGACATCAGCTGCAAGGTGTGGCTTTATCTTGGCTCGCTGTCTCCAATGGACAACGCTGGAGTGGACTACTGCGCTCACCTGACTACACAGTTTGACTTCCAATAGGAAAGATCAGCGTGTTAAAAGCTAACTAACTAACCAGGCTGCGCCTTTGGTAAAATTCCCTTCCAGGTTCCTGTGTGTGCCTTTGCTGGTTATAGGAGTGCCTGTCATACTCAGCCGCCTCCACAGGACGCTGCTTAACTCCGCACTCGCCTGCCTGCTCACCCTCCAATGCTCCCTTTTCACTGGTGCAATATCCATGTGGATTACTGGAAACGCTGCCTGGACTCATTCTCTTCTTCTCCTCACCAAGACCACATCCTTTCACTGATCTGTGCCACCTCCTGGCAAACATTATCCCGTGTGAGTGTACGATACAGAACGCCGAACTAGGTCCTGCTGTTTGTGCTGGGCTTTAGATTGGTTAACAATGATCGCCTCAGGTGCTGGTGGGCAGCAGGGTGCCGGTACAAATGTGCTACTCTTACATGAAGACAAAAGAAGAGGCAACAAGAGAGAAGGAAAGGCAGGCGTGTGGCAGTGAGGGACTGTTACAGGGAGAGAGCTGGCTGATATGATGGAGACAGAAGGAAAGAAGGCAGATATATGCAGGAGAGCAAGCAAAGTTCCAACTGTTCCATCATGGTGTGGACAGGAAGTGAAATGGAGGAGAAGATCAAATAGTCTGGTGGAGGTAAGTGTCAGACAGGAGCAGGTGGAAGAAGGATGAATGGAGGAAGCTCAGAGGATAATGTACCTGTGCAGGTGTGCAGCTGTGGCACTCTAACCAGGCTGTCTGGTACATGATAGAGGAGTACCAGTCTATGCAGAGGGGACAAAGTGGGTGGCCTCTGTCCCTTAACAGGGTCGTGGACCAACTATTGATCATGTGCCTCACCACACGCGACAAGGTGTAAAGACAGGCGGCAGCGGATCTGTGGAAGCTGTGATGTTTCTTACATGTCATTCTGTTTTCACTGCGCATTCAACCATACTACGTCCACGCGTGTGCTGTGTTGATAACATTCTGTCATTTCCACGGTACAAAAGTGGGACAGCTCTTAGAGCCAAGCCTTCTGTTTGTGTGGGTGTCCCCAGCACGCGCACGCAGGAAGTTCCTTTCCTGTCGAGAACGCGAGATGACGTAAGCTGCTTGCCGCGCAGTGATGATGGCGGTTCGTGAACGCGCAGTAAAAGTAATGGCTGCTCTGGATCGGCGGGTTCCTAGCCTCGATGATTTCGTGGGTCAAAGCTGGACTGCCTGGGCCGATTGGGCGGGCATGACGCCGGCGGATGGTAAGGAAACACCCTGACACAAACACTGATCGGTACGGAGCCATTTAACGGAAGCAGCAGTGTTTATTTTCGCGGAAACGCAGGACGGAGCTAAACATGTTACCCAAACAAAGACCCTACCGGGTCCTAGTGCTGGGTGGGTAACATGTTGGTCTTCACTAGGTTACAAAAATTATAATTGTAAGGACACAGTCATTGTAGCATGATTTCCACCTGTGTGGTCATAAAACAGTCTGCAGCGTTTAGGGGAGACCATTCGTGTGGAGAAAACCGGCAGGGCTGGCTGACATCAGAGCGGAAGGAGGCTAGTGTGGACGGCTGGCCGTGGAAAGCGAGCATACAAGCTACCATGCGAGCCCGACTAGCCGGTGGCGACGAGGTAGTTAGCATCAGCATGCTAACGCTAGCAGCAGCCGGATTCAGAGCAGACGCCGGTGACGGAGGAGGAGTCTGACGCTTCTGCACCGCTGGCCCATCCTGTGATAGAAGGAAACATTTTGCGTGTCGTTCCCACTTCGCTTCCTTCGCTTCCTAAACAATGATACTCGTGGACTCGCCACACGATTCCTCATATATGTGGCTTCTGCCCACAGTGTTCTTGCTAGCTTAGAGTCACTGTTTGGCGTTTCTCCAGTGCTGCTCTGCCCATTAACTGTCAGATAGTCTCCCCACCACCCAGTGCCATTAGCTACTGCCTGCTGATCGTATACTTGGACTACGAGTACTTCCTGAAGAAACGAGATCTGAGTCAATTACATAACACAGCTTATTAATATGGGCTATGTGTGATGTAAGATGAGCATTACTAATGGTGATACCAACATCACAGCTGACAGTGGCTGTCTTGAACATGTGTTTCAGGGCCTGATGTGGATGACTGCAATAAGAATGGCAAAAAGGCTGCAGAGGCAATGTCACTCAGTAAAGAGGGTAAGTGTGCAGGTTGGAAACATGCCTCATACTTATGGATCTCAGCTTTTCTAACAAACACACCTTTGCACATACACATGCTGGATGCTGTTTATGAGAACATGACACCACAACTCGGGGGGTACCTGACAGTGCGTGTGAGGATCACACGGCCATAAGAGCCAGACAAGGCTGATCTGAAGCCCCCACTGTTCTTAGTTTGAATCTGCTGTGCAGGTTTGGTTAAAAAACTTTGGCCAGACTCCGAATGTTTCGTCAAAGTTTAACAATGAAGAGTCTTCACAGAGCTCACGCTGAGTTTCAGGTCGCTTATCGTGAACACAGCTTTTGTTGGAAATAGGCTTAAATTTCTATTTTTCTTTTGTAGTTATATTAACAGCTTATAACACTACACAAGCCACATGCTTTGTAATGCTGTGCATTGTAACACGCGTCTGTGACGACGGTGTGTTGGAGCGTATTTGGCACGTAGAGGAGCGTGAGTGTTTGGCACGTGCACGCCAGCTTCGTCGTTCTAAGTGAAGCTTTGCAGCGTTTCCGGCCTGTGGTTCCAGCTAGCACCAAGCTCCTGCTCATGGTGCACATCAGGGGAGCCTCACCAGTTGATGCCATCATTTACAATCCGATTTTTATGTCAGTGAATTTCTCATAAAGGTTTGTGTTTGTAACAAAGTGCACGCTAAGGTTGGGCGACTGGACATGTTGACCGACGACAGGCTGATCTGACTCCTCCATCATTGTCTAACTGCTTCGATCGAGGGCTGGATAGCGTTAGCTTCTATAAAGTGTGCACGTCCAAACTTTTACTCACAGTTATTGGCTTCCACATACCGACGTGTTGGCGTGTGGCTGTGCTGCAGATGCATGAAAACAGCCAGCTTCTTATTAAGACCACCAGGAGGCTGACTGGCCCGTCACTGGTCAGGGCAGCGGATGCATTCTGGTCCCCAGTCGGGTGGATTTACGTGAGCCTGGCTGAGCACTGTCGTGTGATCATCCTGTATACCTGCACGCCTGCTGCTGGGGCGGGATGTTGACTTGCACATACATACATACTGTTTGACCCAGAAAGCGGGGAGTTTATTTGTGAGCAGGGGAAGAAGTGGATGGCTATCAGCCGCTAAAAAGTCTTTACCGACTTATAATTCTGCTAATGCGCTCATGCTGTTTTCTCTAAGACACGGCTCCACTCATGATGCCTTCAGTAGACACACGGGACTCGTTCACTGACAAACACAAGCTGGGAAAGAGGAGATGTGTTGGTGAGCACAGAGATACAGAGCTCATCACATCATTTCAATAAACACGCTCGGCCTGTTTTTGGAGATGATGTGAGAGGATACCTGCTCCCCACAGTGTGCAGCATGTGTGCACCATGATGCTGTGCACATTCAGAGCACGCGTCAGCGAGAGGGAGCACTCAGCTTTAGTAGTTTAGAAGTATTTAGGATCTCGCACCAAGTGAAAGATGCTAACAGCACCACAAGGTGCTCTTTGTGCCTATGACGCGTGAAAACTGCCGACCTTAAATGACAGAAACGAGAGTCACAGCTGGTTTACTGTTCGGTGTGCGGGCAGACGTTCGCGTGCAGACGTTCACGTGCAGACGTTCACGTGCAGACGTTCACGTGCAGACGTTCACGTGCAGACGTTCACGTGCAGACGTTCACGTGCAGACGTTCAAACACCTTTTCAGCTGGTGGATACATTTGTGCTGCTGCTACATTTTGCAGCGATAGTTTCACGGCATGTTTTGCAAAGACTGCATTTTGTTCGACATCCTCCTCGTGAAATCCGAACGACATGCATCTGCAGCATGGGTTACATGCAGACAGCTTAATATTTCCATGGCAACCTGTACTCAATGGTTCCCATAAAGCCACTTTAACCATTGCACGTGGAAAAACCCGCGATACGTTGAGTATATTCGATATATCGCACACCCATACCTTGTTAGTGAGTGAAACAAAGCCTGAAAATGTCATCACATTCAACTGAGTCTGCAAATACTTAGTCGGGTAAGTAAGCCCCGACTTACAGCTTCTCCATGGAACAGGCTACACAGTAGAAGCAGATCCAGCAGCACAGCAGGCTACGAGCATGTCAGTCGCAAGAAGCACGTGCAGATTTAGGATGTTTGAAACCGTAGGTTCCTCTAAGTGAGAGTACGTCTTTCTGTGTTCTCCACTCTTCTTCAAGACATGTCCATCTTTGGCCTCTACCCTGGCCATGACGACTTCTACCTGGTGGTTTGCAGCCATTGCGGGCAGGTCGTGAAGCCACAGGCCTTTGAAAAGCACTGCGAGCGGAGACACGGGCCTGTGGCCAAGCTGTACGCCCGCTTACGCTCTCCCACCCCGGCACCGCAACCCCAACAGAGAAGCCATCACGGCCCCTCTCCTCCTCATGGGACCAACGCTGCTTCGTGGGAGGGTCGAAACCAGGGAGTCGGGCAGCTCCGGGCGGCTCCACCTTCACCCGTCACACCACCACAGTACAGATACTCGAAAACTTCCAAGGACGGAGTGCGGTAAGAACACAGTCCAGTCAAAATGTCCGAGCTTGATTAAAGCAATAATAGATGATGTCAGCTGTTCAGAGTGTAGTGGCTAGCTTGGATTGGACGTGCAATGATTTTGTTCGTCTAAATCCTCTGTACAAATGTTGTAATGTGTTCTTATATCTAATTGAAATGACAAACAGCGAGTGTTGGCCTCTCTTTGTAGCGAGTCATCCAAACCACACAGCAGCACATTAATGACTAACCTTTAAACCTGATGCTCTTTGTCACTGTGCTAATGTGTTTGCATTATTACCCTAGCTCTGTAGCTAGCTGAAGCTCCAGTGAGCCATAGTCATAATCTTTGATCAGGTAACAGCAGAACCGTATGTTCTGGTGCATCATGTCTAGATGGAAGCTAGCACCATAGATCCTCCATGGATGCTGACTGTAGAATAACACCTGTCATAAGCTAAACCTTTTCTTGGGGATGAAAGGCTGTTGGCTGTTTTTGAACTCGGTGCTTGCTGGAGTCTGGGGACCACAGACAGGGTTGCACCCAGAAATGAGGTGGGACTTGTCTGTGGTAGAATCTGTCTCAGCTCATCGCCACTCGAGTTTTCTCTCAAATACACATTTGACTTTTTTATTTTCGAGTTTTGGTGAGTTGAAGCCCTTTGGCGTGTCCTGATGTGTGCTACGCGTAACCTGCTCGTGGCAGCACCCGTGTCATCGTTCCAGCTGGTAGGAAAGGATTGGTGTTTGGAGAGAAGCCGGCATGAAAGTGGGCATCTTCTTCAGTTCCTGACATACTTGGTGGAGCGTGGTGGATTATCATGTTAAAGTTATTAATCACAGCTCAGTACAAAAGCCTCACACACCTTTCTATCCAAACCTTGTGTTTGCGACCAATCAGCACAGAGCTGTGTTAGAGAGACGAACACGTGATCTGAGCGAGCACAGCTAATGTAGAGCGCAGGACTGAAACATTAGAGCCCTCTTATTCACACATGGTTGTTTTTCATTGGCTACGATGACAAACTGTGAACTTCTTCTCTCGTCACCAAGACACTCCCCACTGGAGAAGTCCCACAGCAGTCACTTTGACTCTTCGGTATTCAAGCAGCCACCACCTCTCGAGCCTCCCATGAGCTCCCCACCTCCGTCTCTCAGAGATCCCCCTTGGCCACACGGAGCTACTCCGCCTGGTAGATCTTCACCCAGTGACAGGCACCCCACAGTGAGAAAGGATTCCACTCAAACCTCCGCTGCCACACGCCACCGCATCCCCAGACCCTACAACAAAGTGGCTTCCAGTGAGTACAAGTTCAGACGTGCAGGCAATAGAGAAAGTAGATGTCAGTAGAAGTGTGGTGCGTTCCCGAATAAGTCGGAAGTCGATGCCAAGTTTTAAAGGTTTTTGTTTCCCACTCGGAAAGTCCGAGCCAACCAATGTGACCCGAGGTAGCAATCCAAGATGGCGGCACTGTTAAAACAAGCCGAGCGTCACTCCGAGCTATTCTGGAACGCTGCGTTCATGTGTCTGTGCGATGTCTTTGTTCTGTTTGAGTCTGCAGCCGGCGTCTGCTGACACACAGCGTGACGCGCTGTGATGCATCATGAAGGATCAGCCTGCCGAGTGCAGAGAGCGCAGCTGCGGCCGTCTGCAGCCGCGCTCCGGCCGCGCTGCAGACGGCCGTTTGCTTTCAAATAGAATGAAATCGTGTGTCCACACGTGTGGACAACAGACGTGAGCTTGTGCTGTCACACTGTGGCTCACGTGGCTTCTGTGTGTCCTCAGAGAGGAAGTGCGACTTGGACAAACACTGCGGCGTCCTTGACCCCGACAGGAAGAAAGTGTGCACCCGCCTCCTGACATGCAATGTAAGCAACACACACACACACACACGCGTGCTGTCCCATGTTAGTGCCTCAGTGTGGGTAAGTACAGGGTGAGGCGTGCTGTCAGGCTGTGACCCAGTGACAGGGCAGCGTGTGGGCTTCGAGCCTGTCCGCCATGTTCAGCCCTCACGCACACTCATCATGCTGTTATCACTGAACGTTTGTGTAAACCTGTGTGTCACATGTCATTCTGTCATTGAAGTTGTCCTGCACAGCCGTGAGTCCTTTTTGTTTTCCACTGGATCGATCTCCTCAACAATGTGATATCAAATATGTGACAGAATCCCATCGTGGTCTTCACCACAGCTCTCCCACTTTCAAACTGGTGTGAGGTCCAGTCTGTCCCAAACTCGGTGTCTTTCCATCTCGTGTTGAGCTCTGAAAGCACCAATAAAGCCTATTCTTCATAATATTTCCAGAAACATCTCCTGTGCTCCTTACACGTCACCATAGGTGTGGCTGAAACGTCGCAGTATAGAGTAACAATGCAGGATTGGAACGTGCAGTGCATCAACACAACACGCTCTGACAGTGATTCACACACGGCTCCAACCTGCCACGGAGCATCCTGGCAGCTCGTTTGGACTCACCTGTGGACTGAAACAGGTGGTGGCCATACGTCAGTCACACTGGAGGGAGGTTCACAACACGCTGTGGCTGAGCTCCCTGCACTGAAGACAACAGCTGATAAAAGACTGCAGTGCAGGAACAACTCCAAGCTGTCCATCGACATGTGAAGGAAACGAAAGGCAGGAGAGCCAGGACCGCCCACTGCTGGGACAGGAAAAAGCCGCCTTGGCGTTTACCACAGTGCACGACGAGACCATCAGAGAACAGAGCGAGGCCTACCAAGGAGACGACACAGTAGCTACAGTCAGACACCGTTGCTGCCTCTGGCCTGACGGTGTGCGACGCATCATGAGATCTGAAGACTACCAGTGTAGGGTCAGTGTGAGACAGCTGGGTCAGAGGTCACGGGACCAGCAGGACCAGGACCCCGACACGCCTCTGTTTGTGTGAAGACGACACGCTAATCTGAATCCCACTGATCACGCATGGAGACGTGTCAGAACTGCGCCCTTCAGGAGAGCGGTCGACCATCGCAGGCCAGACGTGCAGCTTGTTGATGAGAGAGGTGACCGACTGCAGTTATTCTTCTGAGCTGTGTGTGAAACGCTGTCAAGTCTTTAGTGTTGATCCACTGCACATACAGGAAGTAAACATGTGTACACCAAAACAGCTCTGTGGGAGAAATGGTGCTTCTGCTGGGAACACTGGGGGGTTCGTACGGGCGCTTCATTAATGGGGGACAACTTGTGCTGTGTTCAGATGACAATGTCCTCGACTGTGGGAGGAGTTTAATGTGGACTCTATAGGTGGGGGATGATGTCATCTTTCAAAAGCACTGTTATACTGTCCTGTTGTTGAAAGAATCGATTCTGAAACTCCACAGTATCCAGTCAGTCCCATCACACAGGCCTGCTCAGATCCACAGCAAACACACAATCTGATCTGTCCTTCCCTCAGATTCACTCCATCCACCAGAGGAGGAAGGTGGTGGGCCGCAGCAAGAACTTTGACCAGCTAGTGGCAGAACTCAAGACCAGGGTTCGAGAGAAAGGGAGCCCAGCCCTGGAGGGAGGCTCCTCGACGGGACAGTCCCTCAGCCCAGAGGCCCCCAGGGAGCAAGCTGGTACTCCACACTGCAGGAGACCTTTGGTCACCCTCCCTGCCTTCAGGTTGTGAAGAATGCTGAAGCTAAGGATGCTTATAGAAGAAGTTAGGACTCTTCTAGAGATAAATAATCATCTTTTTACTGATTATAGTGGCTCAAACATGGTTTGGCTTGCAGGATTCATGTGTAGTCAGCTGCTGGGCAACTGTTTTATCAAGCAGCTAACAGCTGCTGCTGTAACATAGACGTGCTGGACTGATGGTCTGCTAAACTAACACCCAGGTGTTCGTTCTGTTACATAATCCCCAAACAGAGCAAGTTTAAAGGCTTCTCAGATGAGTCCACCAGTTCGCGGCTCAGTACAGCGTGTGCATCAAGTGTAGGGAAGGAGCTGATGTGGTGCTGCTGAGGGTGTAACTGGATCTGGATGGTCCTGTGTGTGTTCTAGTTGGCCTACGGCTGTGGTAGAGAGTGCCCCAGAGGAGGAGAGCCAGCGGTCGGATGAGGGTAATCCCAGAGTCCCCTCGCCTCTGGTCCACGGACGAATCTCGAGCGATGAAAGCGAGGCCGAAGGAAACGACGAGCGAGCTGAGTTTCCATCTTCGGCTGCGCATCCCAGACCAGCGGCGGTGAGACTTACTGGGGCTCAGCAGCCACAGAGCCCAGCCTCTGATCACCACAGGCTGAGACGTTACACAGGGACAGGAGGACGCCCATGCTGTGTCCTCATGTCCCCAAGGACACAGGGGAGACGCACACACGGGAGACACACACACGGGAGACGCACACACAGGAGACGCACACACAGGAGACGCACACACAGGAGACGCACACACAGGAGACACACACACAGGAGACTCACACACAGCAGACACACACACAGGAGACGCGCACACACAGGAGACGCACAGGAGACGCACACACAGGAGACGCGCACACACAGCAGACGCACAGGAGACGCACACACACAGCAGACGCACAGGAGACGCACACACACAGCAGACGCACACACAGGAGACGCACACACAGGAGACACACACACACAGCAGACGCACACACAGGAGACGCACACACAGGAGACGCACACACACAGCAGACGCACAGGAGACGCACACACAGGAGACGCACAGCAGACGCACACACAGGAGACGCACAGCAGACGCACACACAGGAGACAAACAGCAGACGCACACACAGGAGACACACAGCAGACACACACACAGGAGACACACACACGGAGACACACACACAGCAGACGCACACACAGCAGACACACACACAGCAGACACACACACAGGAGACACACACACGGGAGACACACAGCAGACACACACACGGCAGACACACACACAGCAGACACACACACAGCAGACGCACACACAGGAGACACACAGCAGACACACACACAGGAGACACACAGCAGACACACACACGGGAGACGCACACACAGCAGACACGCACACACAGCAGACACACACACACAGGAGACACACACACACAGCAGACACACACACAGCAGACGCACACACGGGAGACACACACGGGAGACACACACAGCAGACACACACACGGGAGACACACACATGGGAGACACACACACAGCAGACGCACACACAGGAGACACACAGCAGACACACACACAGGAGACACACAGCAGACACACACACAGGAGACACACAGCAGACACACACACGGCAGACACACACACAGCAGACACACACACACAGGAGACACACAGCAGACGCACACACACAGCAGACGCACACACAGGAGACACACACACAGCAGACACACACACGGCAGACACACACACAGCAGACGCACACACAGGAGACACACAGCAGACACACACACAGCAGACGCACACACGGGAGACACACACACAGCAGACACACACACGGCAGACGCGCACACACAGGAGACACACAGCAGACGCACACACGGGAGACACACAGCAGACGCACACACAGCAGACGCACACACAGCAGACGCACACACGGGAGACGCACAGCAGACGCACACACGGGAGACTCACAGCAGACGCACACACGGGGGACGCACACACGGGGGACGCACACACGGCAGACCCACACACAGCAGACGCGCGCACACACAGGAGACACACACACAGGAGACGCACACACAGCAGACGCACACACAGGAGACACACACACGGGAGACACACAGCAGACACACACACGGGAGACACACACACAGGAGACACACACACAGGAGACACACACACGGGAGACACACACACGGGAGACACACAGCAGACGCACACACGGGAGACACACACACAGGACACACAGCAGACGCACACACACGGGAGACGCACACACAGCAGACACACACACAGCAGACGCACACACACGGAGACGCACACACAGCAGACGCACACACAGCAGACGCACACACAGCAGACACACACACAGGGCACACACAGCAGACACACACACAGGAGACACACAGCAGACACACACAGGAGACACACAGCAGACACACACACAGCAAACGCACACACGGGTGACGCACACACAGGAGACGCACACACAGCAGACGCACACACAGGAGACGCACACACACAGCAGACGCACACACAGGAGACACACACACAGCAGACGCACACACACACACAGGAGACACACAGCAGACACACACACGGGAGACGCACACACAGCAGACACGCACACACAGCAGACACACACACACAGGAGACACACAGCAGACACACACACACAGCAGACGCACACACAGGAGACACACACACAGCAGACGCACACACAGCAGACACACACACGGCAGACACACACACAGCAGACGCACACACAGGAGACACACAGCAGACACACACACGGGAGACACACACACGGGAGACACGCACACACAGCAGACACGCACACACAGCAGACACACACACACAGGAGACACACAGCAGACGCACACACACAGCAGACGCACACACAGGAGACACACACACAGCAGACGCACACACAGGAGACGCACACACAGGAGACGCACACACAGCAGACGCACACACAGGAGACACACAGCAGACACACAGCAGACGCACACACAGCAGACGCACACACAGCAGACGCACACACGGCAGACTCACAGCAGACGCACACACAGCAGACGCACACACAGGAGACGCACACACAGCAGACGCACACACAGGAGACGCACACACAGGAGACGCACACACAGGAGACCCGCACACAGCAGACGCACACACGGGAGACCCACACACAGCAGACGCACACACGGGAGACACACAGCAGACGCACACACAGCAGACACGCACACACAGCAGATGCACACACAGCAGACACACACACAGGAGACACACAGCAGACACACACACGGGAGACACACAGCAGACGCACACACGGGAGACACACACAGCAGACGCACACACGGGGGACACACACATGGGAGACACACACACAGCAGACGCACACACGGGAGACACACACACGGGAGACACACAGCAGACACACACACACAGGAGACACACACACAGGAGACACGCACACACAGCAGATGCACACACAGCAGACACACACACAGGAGACACACAGCAGACACACACACAGGAGACACACACACGGAGACACACACACGGAGACGCACACACGGGAGACACACACACGGGAGACGCACACACGGGAGACGCACACACAGGAGACACGCACACAGCAGACACACACACAGCAGACGCACACACACACACAGGAGACGCGCACACACACAGCAGACGCACACACACACAGCAGACGCACACACAGGAGACACACAGCAGACACACACACACAGGAGACACACAGCAGACACACACACAGCAGACGCACACACAGGAGACACACACACAGCAGACGCACACACAGGAGACGCACACACAGCAGACGCACACACAGGAGACGCACACACAGCAGACGCACACACAGCAGACGCACACACACACAGGAGACGCGCACACACACAGCAGACGCACACACACACAGCAGACACACACACGGGACACACACACAGCAGACACACACACACGGGAGACACACACAGCAGACACACACACAGAGACACACACACACACAGCAGACACACACACAGGAGACACAGGCTGTGATAATGAGACCTGTGTGTGTGTGTGTGTGTGTGTGTGTGTGTGTGTGTGTGTGTGTGTGTGGATAAAGCAGCATGGTTGCAGTGGTGCCACAGGCTCTTCCAGGCACTTCTCTGAGAGACTGACTGCAAACGGTGCTGGAATAGATACAAATACAAAAGTAGACGTGTGAAAAGCAACTCAAAGGATTTTGTGAAGTTCCAAAACAAACAGTTGTGTTGAATGTAAACTCAGACAGCAGCATATCTGCACAGCCTCTGTGCTCGGTGTTTAAAGGTGTGTTCTTGTTTTTAAAGGTGTGCTCGTTCGGAAGCCGTGTGTTGGGTCAGGGCATCTACACGTTTGACAGGAGACTACACCACCTGAGGTCTGCCTTCAGCAGCATGCTGGAACAGCACATCAGCGCCCATCTTTGGAAGTAAGACGTCCCTGTGAACAGAGCTTCATGTGAATATATGTGTGTTTACTACTCAGAGTTACTGTCAGCAGCTGTGGTGCAACAATGGAGCGACCCACGGACACCGGGGTCAGTGTCAGTACTGGGAGCACCCTGACTGCACCCTGCACAGGCTGCACAGGTAGTGCTCCAGCTGTGTGCTTTTCAGCTGGTTTGCTGCCTTCCCTGCACAGCCTCAACAGCATGCAGGAGTCTCCAGGAGATGGACAGATGCTGCAGGAGGTGCTTAACCCACATCAAGACTGGTGTCTGCTCCTCTGTGTGGGAACTCTGAGCACTGCCAGAGCCCCACAGGACGATCTGCAGCAGGCCACGGGTGTGAATGTCTCTGACATTATATTCTGTGCTTTAGACAGAGCAGTTCACCCTGACTGTGACACACATGGAGATGCTGACTGTAGCCTAGTTCAGCACGACAGGTTTGGTTGTCAGTCAGTGCTGATGTGGGAGCATGCCCTGACACTGTCAGCCGTGAACAGCAGCATGGAAAAGAGTTGGAGCTGCTTTGGTTCACTGTAAAAAGCCCAAACATTATCAAACAGTGTAGCTCCTTTTGTTCCTGACACAGGAAATGTGTGAGACACTGTCCTGCTGGAAGCTTCCATTAGAAAATGGATGCAGTGTGTTGATAAAGCGATGGATGCAGTCGGCAACAATACAGGTAGGCTGTGGCATTAAAACCACTCGGTCCATAACGTCACATCAGTGGGACTCGTTCAGGCAGAGCCGGACAGACAGAGCAGCAGTGTGACATGCTCACGATGCCACGTGTAACGTTCTTCCTCCATCAGATGCTCGGTCTGAGCCTGAGCAGGTCCTGAGGAGCTGTCGTATGGCAGCAGTTTCCTGCTAACAACGTGTCTGCTGACATGCTGGGCAGTGCAGGAACAGACACTCAGGGCTTACATGTTACAGCAGCACAAACAAGGCTGGCACAGAGGTGCACCCTGGGTTGTTTGGTTCAACGCCCCTCAGAAGATGACCTCACAGTGCTGTCTGGGCTTTATGTTCCCCGTGGCAGGGTGAGGCGGGGGTGTGGCCACTGTAAACATGGCTGTGCTGTCAGACACTGCAGGTGGGCTCATCTGTTCTTTTTTCCCTCTGTCCAGGAAAATACCTCAAGCTGCAGACCTTCAGTCTCCTCCTCCTCCAGCCAAGACCATCACATCCGTGTCTCCCACCATCATGTCCTCCTCTTCATCACATTCTAAGGTTCGCACAGGAAGTCATATTAGCTCCTCCCTCAAAACGGCGTCATCCTCATCATCTTCCAGTCGAGGGCCGGGGAGGCCCCGACATCCACGCAGTTGGAGAACTACGGGAGCAATAGCAGCAGCAGCATCGCCGGTAGTCACGGGCGACCCAAGAATCCAGTCGGACGTCCCAGCAAGCAAATGCTGAAGCTGCGAGAGCAAGTCGCTACAGCCGCTGTTCTCCGCAAGCGCAAAGTCCCATCCCAGGAAGGAGAGCACTCGGGTCCCGACAGGAACTGCATCGTCCTCCAGGACAGGGGCCGCCCGCCTTCCAACACGTCGTCTTTATCTTCCAAAGCGCACGCACAGACCAATGGCACGCTCTCCCCAGCAGCAAACCCCACCCCCAGCCTTCCCCACAGACGCCCAGTCGCCGAGCACAAAGGCTATTTGGACTTACAGACGGACACACCCTCCTCTGGGGGACCCTTCTCCCACCGCCAATTCCCACAGCCGTGCTTGCGTGGGAGACTCAGGGCTGCACGGGCAGGGCAGCGGGAGGGTCTTTGAGCACCAGATGGGAACGGTGAAGAAACGCAAAGCTGGTCGTACGGAGGATAACGCTCCCTCCTCTAAGCCTTCAGCCCACTGCCTGACTTCCTCCTCTTCTTCCAGCTCTGCCACTTCGTCTCCACGCTCAAACTTCTACCCCTGGAAAGACAATAAAAGCGGGACGCTTTCTGGGGGTGTGGAGAAGAAACTGGGCACACAGAAGGTAGGTTTGGACGAGGGGAAATGGGTGTACTGAGCAGTTCCAGTCCACACTTGGCCCTGCAAAGGCGACTAGGAGTAACCCTTGAAGCTCTTTTGAGAACGGAGTGGTTTCTGTTGTGTTTCTGCTTGTATGGCTGCGTTAGTGAGGGCGGCCTCTGCCTGTGCAGCTACCTCGCAGCTCGTCACCTGTGTTCACTGGTGTAGCTGATGAGACTGCCTCTGCACAGCTGAAAGGATGCTGCCAGTCAGACAGTTTGTACCGTGCAACCAGCTCAGTGCCTCACAGTGCATGTAGAGGAATCATGTTTCTGCATAGACGCAGCAGTGTACTGCTGACGTGTTGAAGGTGCAGCTGCTGCCCTCTGGGTAATTACAAAGTGCCATAGATAAGTCAGGTCATACTCCTCAGAGTCTCTGTTGTCAGCGACGTAGTCTTGGACTAGACTAACACAGGTCTGCTGCAAGGTATTAAAAATGACTATTACTCAACCGAGAGCTGTTTCCATGACGATCAGTGACGCCCAGCAGCGGTGGACAGAAATTCCCGCCACGCTCCGAGGAGCGGTCTTAAACTGGCTCTGTGTGAAACATGGATCTTTGTTTATTATGAAGTGAATGCAAAGAGCAGCTGTCTAAACAAAAGTAATAATTTGACTAATTTTCTTCTGTCCTACAGCCAAAACTGCACCATTAAGTGTGCCTGCCTTACAAGCCACGATGAGGGAGCCAGCTCTGCTCAGTCCAGGACTGAGCCAACAGGACTGTGTGTGTCTGTGTGTGCCTTCTGTCTGTGGAGCGTACGCTCGGGTGTGGATGTGACCGCTTGTTTGTATGTGCAGTGTCGATGTAGTGTGGATCGCAGCTGGGTGTGTAGGTCTGGGTGGGAGGAAGTTCAGAGCGTATGGATTTAGAAATACCTCACGACCATCTGGTTATGCTGCTAAATGAAATGTTGGTTTATAAAAATTGATTAAAAATGTCATTTTCACTTGGTTTCTGTCACTTCTTTATCACTTTGGAAATGTGCTCTCATGTTGGGCTGAAGTCAGTGGTGCACGTTTTACAATTAGAAACTAGATGATGTGACTGCATTAACACATTTATCCCCACAGCTGCCTCAAGCTGCTTTGTTATTAAAGACTGCTGTAATAGAGGGAAACCCCAACAATGACCCTCTGACAGAACCGGGCTGAGGAGGGGGCAGCCGTCACGCCTGGTAGGGAGTGAGGGGACACGTGGAAGGTGGCCAGGGCTTAAATGATTAAATGCAAAGAGTGAGTGAAGACACAGCAGATTCAGGGTCACCTGATCCAGCCTTAACTACATACTTGATCATCTTAAAAGTCTGACATCTATCAGTACCATAGTACTATGAAGTCTTTTAGATTAAGATTGTGTATGAGGAGCAGAATTTGAGTCTGGATCAACAGGCAGACTGTCTCGAGTACCTGCCAGTACTCTGGCTGCAGCATGTTGGAACAAATAAAGGAAACGGGACATTTTTAGGATCGCCTAATATCAAATTACTGCAGTCCAAGCTACATCCAATAAATGCACAAACTAGTTTTTCACTATTACTCTGAGACAATATCTTTATAATTTTAGATTTTTTTTGTGTATTTGCATTTTCCGCACTGAAGGACATCTCTTGGTCACAGGCCAAGGTAATGCCACCCAGAGTAAGAATCTGGTTAGATACCATATTTCTAAGCTTTTCAGGGCCGAGTACAATAACCTCAGTTTGATCTGAATTAAGAAGCAGAAAGTTGGCGGCCATCCAGGTCTTTATGTCTTTAAGACATTCCTGCAGTTTAACTCATTGGTGTGTGTTATCTGGCTTCATGGACAGATAGAGCTGGGTGTCATCTGCATAGCAGTGTAAATGTATGCTATGTCTTCTAATGATGCTGCCTAAGGCAGGGTCCAAACTTTTTGCAAAGAGGACCAGATTTGGGAAGTTGAGCATGTGTGTGGGCCGACCATTCAGCCCAAAATATTTTGAACCATTAACATTAAATGCAAATGAACGACTTTATACGGACCCTGCAGGGGACATGGGAGAAAACAAATTAAGACGGACTTCTGCGAGATCTCGCAAAACAAACTCGGGATCTCGCAAAAGTTTTAGCCGCATTCTCCGGAGGCCGCCAGCTCCAAGCCGACCGGGAGGTCGAGGCACGATGTGCCGGGAAAGCGGTGTTCCTCCCGGCTGTAGTAGGTCTCGACCTCCCGTTAGCTTCGAGATGGCGGGTGTCAGATCTCCGAAAACGTCGGAGCACTTTTGCAAATATGTGATGTCTTGTAAACCGAGCAGGTATCTGACGTTTACACAACTACATTCACGCCTCAAAATATCTTAAAAGTGTATTTTGTGACCCAGAAAGAGTAATATTACAGCTAAGTAGCTGCCGCCATTGTTGGAATTCAACTTTTGTGAGATCTCACAAAAGTCCGTCTTAATTTTTTTCCCCATGTCCCCTGCGGGGCTCCGTAACTTTATCATGTTAATTTTTCACACAAATTTTATTATGAATTTTTTTATCATGAATTAATAAATTTGACCAAAATAATGTATTTGAAAAACACAAAATGAAGAAAAATTAAACATCTAAATTCAAAACATGTGAACAGGAAAATAACATTAAGAGTTAACTTATTCAAAAGTACAAACACTGGGCCATATAAATCCGTACATCGCTCGTTCTTTAGGTTTTTAAATTGACCATCAAAAATGAAAAAAACTACTTTATGTTATTGGATTTTGAATCAGATCTCAAAAACAAAAATGGATGTTTTTTATTTCAATTTCAAAAATATGAAATTGAAATAAAATGTAACCCTTGTAAATGGCCCAGGGCTGGCTCAGAAACAGTGGTTCTGATGCGCAAAATGTCACGCAAGTGAGTCGCTTAATCTCGTCCTCACGCTTCTTGTTCATGTTCATGACGGGGAATGTCTTCTCGCACAAGTATGTGAGCCAAACAAGCTCAGTATTTTCTTAGCAAATGTTCGAATCTCTTGGAACACGCCTTTATCTAGCTGGTGGTAAAAGCTGTTGGTGCTGACGCCGATACTCGGTGTCACACTGCAGCTCAATGAGCTCCGGCTGCAAATGGTCAGGAGCATCATCAGGGTCCATGGAAGAGGGAGAGGAAAAAGGCATGATTTTTTCAATAGCTGCAAAATCCCAAAAGTGCTGTTGAACCTTCTCAGCCAGAGAAGTCTGCTGCATCACCTCATTGCGCACTAACATTGGTCTGTAGGAAACTAGTCATTATTTCCTGTAGCGATGGGAAATGTGTGGTATTGGGCTGCATTTGTGACAGATGTCTTTAGAAAAGTAGCAGTTTGGTCCCAAAGGCTTTGATGTGTGAATACAGTTGTCTTACCAGTGCATTTTACCCCTGAAGGCTCCTGTTCAGCGTGTTCACATGTTGTGTTATTATAAGAGTTGTCTGATTTCCTCCCTAAGAGAGTAGAAGCGCTGCAATTCAATTCAATTTTATTTATATAGCGCCAAATCACAACAAAAGTCGCCTCAAGGCGCTTCAGTGCAGTGCCGACCCCCGACTGAGCCATCTCAGGTCATTGTGATACACAACATCCCTGTACTCAGCCTGGATGTTGAGTACAAACTGTTGACACTGGCGGTGGCACAGGGCTTTGGAGCGAATATCATTAATAGCCTTTATTGCCTTTTTCAGAACATGGTCGTATTTCAAATGTTTAGCAGAGTCCTTGTAGGTGAATAATACAGTGGAGTTTTGTAGCTTTACCTCCTTGTTTGCTGACTTTGTTACAGACTAGGGTCCATTTCTCTCCCCAGCCACAGCAGGTGCACCATCCATAATAACCCCAGTGACTTTATTCCACGGTAGCTTCATGTCATCTACGGCGGAACAAGCAGCAGCAAACAAATCTGCTTCTCGTTTGGCCCGTAAGGCTCTGGAGGCTCACTCATGTTCATTTCATTGTCCACCCTTCTAAGAAAAAAAATCAGTGACAGAGGCTGCGGCCAGTGGAAATTTGAACACGGGCCGCATTTGGCCCGCAGGCTGGACTTTGGACATGCCTGGCCTCGGGCCCCTCAGGTTAGCTGACCAGCTCCTCCTGAGCGTGCCCAGGACTAATCATAAGCTCAGAGGGAGTCGGGCGTTTGCTGTGGCAGCACCAAAACTGTGGAATGAGTTGCCTTTACATGTTAGACAGGACCTTCCTTATCTGTTTTTAAATCACGTCTTAAAACATATCTATTTGCAGCACAGCAGGACCTGTTGATCTCTCTTAATATGTTTTTTTATTAATTATATATATTTATTTAATTTTAAGATATTTTATATGTAATTTAAACTGTTTTCTCTTTGTTTTATATTTGTAGTACTTTGGCCAACATTGTTGGATGTAAAGTGCGTTATAAATAAAGATGCTGCCTAAGGGAAGCATGTATAATGTAAACAGAAGTGGTCCTAGCACTGAACCCTGTGGAACTCCATAATTAACCTCAGTGTGTGAAGAGGACTCTCCATTTACATGCACAAACTGGAGTCTATTAGATAGATATGATACAAACCACTGCAGCACAGTACCTGTAACACCTACAGCACATTACTCTATACAAAGTATTATGGGTAACTGAGCGCTGCACTGAGGTCTAGCAGACATGTGTCTGCTCTCAAAGCCCAAAGAAGATCATAACTGTGATAGTTTCTGAAACCTGCAGATGATCAGCTGTTTCAAGACTTTTTGGGATACAAGAAAGATTGGCCTCTAATTAGCTAACACGGTAAACAGAGGACTTTTTAACGGTCTAATTACTGCTACCTTGACAGGCCTGTGGAACAGAGATCATATTTAACATACATGCATACATGATGTTAATGTCCTTGCCTCCATTTACACCAATTAGGCATAATGTTGTTAGTTAGCCCTTTGCTGACCCCTGAAGGTGCTGTGGTACTGGGAACCAAGATGTTAGCAACAGATTCTTTAAGACCCGACACTTGTGAGGACTTGTTTGCACTGTGAGATGGGGAATGTGGAGATTCAGCACCTCAAAGCGGTCCTGGACCACGTGTTGCATTAACCTGCTGAGAGAGGCGTAGCCATCAGCCATCCTTTCCACGCCCACCCCCGTGACATCACGCTCCAGCTCCAAAGCCCTATACTGTTTCCACGACAGGCTGTACATGATCTGCAACAATGTGCATTAATAATTGATAAGTCTACAATAATCATTTTCACCCATCTACGTGTACATGTAGTGAGCTTAAGATTCGCTCAGTTAACGCTGTTTTGTGCCTATGCACGGTTCTTAGTGTTTCTCCCTGCGCTCGGCTACAGCGGCTGACACGAGAATCAGGAAATACAAGTCGGGTCAGCTCACTGCGTAGTTTCTTCGAGAAAAGGTCGAAGCAGGAAGCAGAAGCGACGGTGTGGCAGCTCGGTGACTGTGTGCAGACTCGGAGGGATCGCACCGCCCGTTCTGTTTGCGTCCTCAGGCCGGAAATGGCCTTAACAAAATGGGTTTCGTAGGAAGGATGTGTGCGCACACACGAGCCTGGGCAAAGCAGCGACTCTGATGCTGCTCGGCTCGTGCTCGCTGTAACCGCGCGACTATGGAGCTCGTGCAGCCGGGCTCCTCGGTCCTCTCCAGCACACCTCGTATTCCCGCCGGACGCTGGAGCAGGTAGCCGGAGAGGCTGTGAGCAGCATGCGGTCAGACGTGGAGTACAGCCCGGTGGGAGAGGGCCTGGGTATGCGGGACTTCTGGCTGTACGTGTGGCTGCGGAGAGTGGCGGTGATAGCGACTCATGTCACCGGCCTGGGCCTGACGCTCGTCCTCTCCCTGCTGTCCAGACCCGGAACCAGTAAGTGTTGTGTACAGTGTTTTATCCCCGTCATCAAACCTGCCAAATATAAGGAAGTGATTTTGGTTATTTGTGATTTAGTCATTCACGTGACTGATCAGCTGCGTGGGCTTCTTTACTGATCAACGTAGTAGTAAAATAAATATTATTATCATGGTTTTCTTCCAGTAAACAAAATGATCCCGTTTCTGATGATAAAGATGTAAACGAGTGCAGATTAGAGCCCGTGTTTGAGCTGTTGCATCACAGTGCGTGTCCTTGAGTGGGTACGTTTAGGTTTTGCTGACGGTCAGCTTGCTGCTGTTGAAGCTGCAGCACATGGTCAGCTGATGATTGTGTCATTAATCTTCTGTTTGTCTCTCCAGGTCTGTTCTCTTGGCATCCCATGTGTATGTCTGTCGCTGTAAGTTTCCAGTCCTCACACAAACACAGACACTCGTCTCACTCCTCTCACCCACGACCGCTCGCGGCCGAGTAAACGGGCAGCTGTGGCTCTTCTCGCATGGCTTTCTAAGCTGCTTAAGGGGATATTTCAAGTAATGGATGGAGATGTTGTTTCCTGCTAGCTTTCAGCCCACTACATTCCTCCAGTCTCTGTCAGCTTTCCACTGTAAATAATAGATTTGAGGGAGGATATGTTAACACTCAGAAAAGGAAGCTTAGAGATGGGTGATATATACAAAATATCTGATGCAGTGATAAAGTCTGAGTAAGATCCTGGAAAGGATTGTTCCCACTCAGCTGTTGGATCACCTGAATGATTCCAGAAGCTCCTCAGTCCGGCTTGAAGCCGTTTCACAGCACAGAGACGGCTCACAAAGGTTATGAATGACATTTTGTTAGCAACAACTGTGGTAAACCTGTGTTGCTTGTTTTGGTGGCTCCGACTGCTGATCTCTCGACTACTGCATTGTGTGGGAATTTCCACATTGGCACTTTCGTGGATAAGATTTTGTCTGTGGCCCCTCTGCCGTCGGGTGCACCACAGGGATCTATTCTTGGGCCACTACTGTTTCCATTGTATCTCCTGCCACAGGGTGCAAAAACAAGAAATTTAAAGAAATGCTGACGATAGCCGCCTTTATCTGCCTTTCAGTCACTGATAGCTCCTCGACTGCACTCCTGCTTGATCGTCTTAGCGATGCTAAGTCATGGATGGCTCTAAATTCTTTAAGTTTTAATGAACGTAAAATGGAACGAACCCCAGAGGTTACTCTGCTGCTCTGACTGTCACCCGACAAGCTCAGTTACTAATCTTGGGGTAAAAATTGACTCTGTGCTTAGTTTTGATGGCCACGCAAACGGGGTGGTCAAGTCTTCCTTTTGGCACCTCATGCGTCTGTCGAAGGTTAAGCTTTTTCTTTCCAGGCGTGACTTGGAAACTGTCATCCATGCTTTTATAACCTCATGCTTGGATTACTGCAACTCCCTTGTAATAGCGGTTGGCCGTGCCTGCAACTGCACGGTTTGTAACTGGTAAAAGAACATTTGAGCATATTACTCCGGTACTTAGAATCTACTTTAAAGGGTTTTTAAATCCTTGGTTTTTAAAACCCTCAAATGCTCCGGCGCCTGTATATCGGCCCTATGCCCCCCTCTTTTCTAGTCCCTAAGGACCCCAAAGCGCTTTACACTACATTCAGTCATCCACCCATTCACACACACATTCACACACTGGCGATAGCAAGCTACATTGTAGCCACAGCTGCCCTGGGGCGCACTGACAGAGGCGAGGCTGCCGGACACAGGCGCCACCGGGCCCTCTGACCACCACCAGTAGGCAAACATGGGTTAGTATCTTGCCCAAGGATATTTGGCATGCAGCCAGGGTGCAGCCTGGGATCGAACCACCGACCTTCTGATTAGTGGCTGACCTGCTCTGCCACCTGAGCTACAGCCACCCATTAGGGAGTCTACATCAGTCTTTGAATCCAGGTTAAAAACGATAGAATAACGATTTATTACTCTTATTGTACTTTTTATGTCTGCTGGTCGGCCATGTGTTGTTTTTAAAGTGCTATATAAATAAATGATGGTATGGCCTAGTGTTACACACTGCTAGAATATGCTGTTCTCTCAGTCTCATCAGAGACCGGCAGCCATAATAATGCACCAGATCTGAATGTTAATTCAACATATGCAGTTACTATGAAACTCGAGTAGCTGAACAGGTTGTGGTCAGCTGACTGGCAGTTGAACAACGCTCTGTTTCTTTGCCTTGAGAAAGTCTTGGGTAAAGCTTCGGGTTATTGTCCATAGGTCTGACGTCATCATTTATCCTGCTACATCTGTCTGTAATCATCCACTTACAGGCCCATCCCATAATATGCTGGTGCTGTGCGTTGCTGTATTACAGTTTGTGATTCCCAATCACATTAGATGTCACTCATGTACACAGCACGCACTTTGTCTCCTTGAATGAACTGGGCAAAGCTTGATGTGCAGAAAAACAGGAGTTTAGATCGTTAGAATAAATTCCCACAACTCTACATCTAATTAATCGCTTGTTGAGTTTTCATGGCTGGATCTGTATCACCACTAATCACCAAATAAGCCCCTTTACTAACATCTGTTTCCTCTCACTGCAGTACTGCCTGTGCATGACCGAAGGTATCCTGCTGTTCTCAGCAGAGGGATCTCCCTTCTGCTTCAAATCATGGAAGAGTAAAGTCCGTCTCCACTGGTTCTGTCAGGCTCTGGTCCTGATCGCTGCAGCCACTGGACTTGGGTTCATTGTGGCCAGCAGGAATGTGTCGGAGCTCCCACACCTGGCCTCCTGGCACAGCCTGCTGGGTATGTGTACGCTGACCGCCACCGTGCTCCAAACGGCCTGCGGCATCGCTGTGATTTTCCCCAAGCTGCTGCGTCTCTCCTGCCCCTCGTCCAGACTGAAGCTGTACCATGCCACCTGCGGCCTGGTTGTCTACCTGTTTTCCACCGTGACAGTGATGTCTGCCATGTTCACTGACTGGTTCCAGGCCACGGCGAAGGGGGTGGCGTGGTGGGCCTTCCTCATCCTGCCTCTATTCCCTGCCTTGGTGGTGATGAGCCAGATCACTAATGCCTATCTACCCCGCAAGAAGCTGACCAGCTAGGAACCAGCAGCAGGTGGCAGAGACATCCAAAAGGAATAATGAAGAAATAAAGAGTCTTCTTTAACTTGCACCCTTGCAAGGGTGGAATTTATCCCTGAGTGAAATGTCTTTACCAGTCATCACTGTTAGCAAGCAAGCTAGCAGCTGTGGTGTGGTGAGCTATATTTGTATTAAACTACAACTGAAATAAGGGATTTTAGGGCGTAGCTTCTGGGAGAGGTTCTTTTTCCTTTTCTTCATACCTCGAGTGCTACAAGTAGCTGGCATCTAGTGGCCTGTAGAAGAACTGCAGCATGAAACATTATAGGGTTGGTGTTTAAGTATGGCTGCCGACTACTGTTGGAGTCCCACAGGTGGAGCTGGTGGACACACCTGGACTGGTTTTGTGTGTCTGCGGCTGTGGAGTCTCACTGCTGTTCACTGTGTATGCTCGGTGAGACTGTGTGCAGCCTGATGAACATTTACTGCTGACTGTGTGAGAACATGGAGCTACACCAGGTTATACACCAACATAAAAATTCTGATATTTATTGTTTCATGATATTTTTTGCCTTTTGACTTCTTATAGGTGCTACATTGTGACACAAAAGGTCTACCAAAACGTTTTCAAATTGCAACCCTGTGGCCTTCTCCACAGATTCACAAGGCTGATTTGATTTGATGCACATTTACAGCTGGTATCAACCAGCTAAGAACAACCCGACACTGTCCGATCTGCTCTGCTCCAGGCTGGATCATGGAAGTGGCTGATAGTGTGTCCTGCACTAGAAGCTGTTCTAACTTCCACCATCATCAAACCCTGTTGGTGCATCCAGGGCAGACTCAGCTGAGTTCACAGAAAGGTTGATCTTCAGCTTTCTAGAAAAGCAGATATTTTGAGACGCAGTAATCCAGAAGATGAATGTAAACTATTTAAACATGTTAACTGGATATACAGTTCAACTTTACACCAAAGCACAGAAACAGTCGATTTATATTTTAAAGTAAAGACCCCACAGTAATACAGAGAAAACCCAACAATCATGTGACCCCCATGAGCTCAAAACAACATACTGAAACAGTTATTCATCACTTGGTTGCTTCAATACAACCCTTGGGCACATGTATGCGGACGTTTCGTGGCTGTTTGGACCTCGCGCTCTCTTCACCGATCAGGTCTGGCTGTGGTAGCAGCTTTAAACCCAGGCTGATGGAGGGGCCCAGTCTGGATCACATTCCTGCATTTTGTAGGCTGCTTTTCCTACAAGCCACCGTGAACAAAGCAGCCAAGCAACGAATTCAATTCAAATTAAGACTTATTTGTCACCTACATCAACAATTATGTTGTGATACGCAAGGCAAGGCAAGTTTATTTGTATAGCACAATTCAACAACAAGGTGATTCAAAGTGCTTTACAGAGACATTAGAAACAAGAACAAATAAAAAGCATGATTTAAAATGGATTAAAACAAGCAAACAAACAAACTAATTAACAAACAAACAAACAAACAAACAAAACAGTATATAAAATCAAAACAGATAAAATCAAAACAGATAAAATCAGAAATAGATAAGATCAGTAGTTAGTGTAAGTTTTGAAATTTAAGCTTAAAAGTGTGGATTTGGTGCTTTATTCAAATGCAGCTGAGAACAGGTGAGTCTTCAACCTGGATTTAAATAAACTGAGTGTTTCAGCTGATCTGAGGCTTTCTGGGAGTTTGTTCCAGATATAAGGAGCATAAAAGCTGAATGCAGCTTCTCCGTGTCTGGTTCTGACTCTGGGAACTGATAAAAGACCGGATCCAGATGACCTGAGGGATCTGGAAGGTTCATACTGGGTCAGGAGGTCATTGATGTATTTTGGTCCTAAACCATTCAGAGCTTTATAGGCCAGCATCAGAACTTTAAAGTCTATCCTCTGACGGACAGGCAGCCAGTGTAAGGACCTCAGAGCTGGACTGATGTGGTCCACTTTTTTGGTCTTAGTGAGGACTCGAGCAGCAGAGTTCTGAATGAGCTGTAGTTGTCTGACTGATTTTTTAGGTAGACCTGTAAAGATGCTGTTACAGTAATCAAGCCTACTAAAGATGAATGCATGGACTAGTTTTTCCAGGTCCTGTTGAGACATCAGATCTTTTATCCTTGATATATTCTTGAGGTGATAGTAAGCTGACTTTGTTATTGTCTTAATGTGTTTTTCTAAGTTTAGGTCTGCATCCATCACTACACCCAAATTTCTCGCCTGGTTTGTGGTTTTTATATGTATAGATTGAAGTTCTCTGGTGACCTGTAATCGTTTTTCTTTGGCGCCAAAGACTATTACCTCAGTTTTGTTTTTGTTTAGCTGGAGAAAATTGTGGCACAACCAGTCATTGATTTCCTCAATGCATTTACCAAGAGCCTGTACAGGGCCTCAGTCTCCTGGTGACATTGTGATATATATTTGTGTGTCATCTGCATAGCTGTGATAGTTTATTTTGTTGTTGTTTATAATCTGTGCCAGTGGGAGCATGTAAATGTTAAACAGAGGGGGTCCCAAGATGGAACCTTGGGGAACTCCACATGTGATACTTGTCTGTTCAGATGTGAAGTTACCTATTGATACAAAGTATTTCCTGTTTTCTACGTATGTTTTGAACCAGTTTAGTACAGTTCCTGAAAGACCTGTCCAGTTCTCCAGTCGTTTGAGTAATATGTTGTGGTCAACTGTATCAAATGCTGCACTGAGATCCAGTAAAACTAGGACTGACATTTTTCCACTGTATTCAGACATATGTCATTAAACACTTTGGTCAGAGCGGTTTCAGTGCTGTGGTTCTGTCTAAAACCTGACTGGAAGGCATCGTAGCAATTATTCTGTTTTAAGAAGTAACTGAGCTGTTGGGAAACTGCTTTTTCAATGATCTTACTTAAAAACGATAAATGACGCATTAACTGCAACAGCAGACTGACCTCTGTGTGAATGCTTGGAGCAGACTAACCTGTGAGCTGGAGTGCTCTGGGACGTTACATTTGGTCTTTGAATGGCTGCAATCCAGGCCATCCATCAGCTCTTTGTTACTACGGAAACGTGGCTTCCATGATGTAATCTGATAACAATGATCTCTTTACCCGTCGGCTTCCTGTGGCCGTCATGTGACCGGCTAATGCACCCATATGGAAAAGATTTATATAAATCTTATAAAGTTTGTATCTGTCTGTGTGAAACTTGTATGAAAAGCATACAAGAGTGAAAACATATAAGATCCCTTGAAAAATTATATAATGAAACTTGTATGTTTTGGATACTAAACCAATGTATGAAAGTAATGAGAAAGTGGCCACTTTCATGAGTAATCACATAAGTTTTTACTATTTCTTTTCCATATGGGCAGTTAATAACACAACAGCTCCTTGCCATTCTTTGTGTTTCTTTTCATCGCTGTGTGACTGCTTCCATATGAAAGCTTGCGTGCTTCTAGTACCGCTCGCCACTCGTACCTACAATCCTTTGCGGTTTTACCCCGGAAATGACATCACGTGCTCAGTGTCTATATGCAAGTGCTTTGGTGACAGTGGGAAGGAAAAACTCCCTTTAACAGGAAGAAACGATGCAGACAAGGCTGAGGGAGGGGCGGGGCCATCTGGGTGAGGGGAGGAAGACGTCTGCTTCCAGATTCTTCATCCATGTTAGCTGCTGGCTTATGCAAATATAAAGTGCAACATAAAAAGCTGATTGCAGTGATTGAGACAGCAGGCAGGTCTTTCTTACTGTGTCTGATACAACAACACAACCTGTCAAATACAGACTCGTCTTCTATTTGTGAGAACTGCAGTTTCAGTGAAGGACAAACCAAAGATCACATCTAGTCTAGAGACGATCCTTTCCCGGCACAGTCTATCCTAAAACATGGATTTTATTCATTTCGAGCTCAAAGAGCGGGTGAGGATAACTAGCTGGGCGTGGATTTGTCTCAGGGTTGCTGTTCATGAGCTGACCACAGTGGGTGTTTGTATTTATGTGACCCTCTCAGCTCTTTGCTTCTGTGAACCTGTAATAAATAAGGGAACACATCTGTAATAAAGCCACATCTCTCTTTATTTGCAGTTAACGATCGTTTGTGAGCTAATACTGACCGCTGAACAGGATAAACAGGTGAGAAATCTTAAATGCAGTCGTTTTATTCGTGCAACAGCAGGAACCATTCCACAGAGCAGCGTCAGGTATTTCGTGTTTATTAGCGTTCACAGGTACCAGTCCACAGTGACCATAAACTTTCACGGTTTGGTGATTTAGTCCCACGCCTGGAGTCTAACAAATGCTCCCACTGCTTAAGGGACAATGCAGACCTGTACATGCAGAGATCTGAGTGCTGAGAGCCACAGAGCAGCACTGCTGTCATGTCTTTAAAGCAACACAAACCTATGCTTGCACCGTGTCCGTGAATCATGAGCAGACTGAAAACGTCGGGCTGTCATCAGCTGGGACTGTGGGACAGACGAGCGCAGCAGCCAGTGTTGCTGATGTTTTCTGCAGGCGTGTTTGTGGCGCTGGGAACCAGAGTCGCCGCCTGCTGGCTTGTCCTCGCAGATGAAGGCCACAGAGTTGTTCAGAAGGTCGTACATGTTCACCTCCACCAGCTCTGCTGATGATTTCACCTCTCGCCCATCTGCCAGAGCTAGAAACACCTGCTGACCAACCCCCTGCTGCCTTGGCTCCTCAGACTCCGCCCCTTCCTGTCTGCTCCCTGTTGGATTGGCTGGTATCACCTGTGGGGTCAGACAGAGATAGTTTTGTAAAGGTTAAACTGTTTCCAGCTTTTCTGCACGCAGTAAACCCACAACTTGTTTTAGTTGTGTACGTCTGAAGTGACAAACCAGCGCTCGTCTCACGCACACTCAGGAAAGGCTCTGAAAGCTGAATCCAAGCACACCATTGTTGTTCTTGTGACATTACCAATAAGTCTGATGTGTCACATGACCCTCTTCCTACTGAAAAACTAAAGTTGTATCCAAGATGGCCGACTTCTAAACGGCCATGGTCACCGCCCACCTGGAGGAGTTTGCCCCTCACATGTACTAATGTGCCACAAACAGGCGTTACTATCACCAACCGTCCCCATGTTGTTACGCTGTATCCATAGAAACGGCCCCCCTGTACTCTGGGGCACTGGTCTGTGGCACATTCTGGTTACAGTGTGCAGGAAACACATGAATGGAAAGCATCATATCAAACTTGTAACCAATCACAGTTTTGTGTTACTGTTATTAATATTAGAAAGCTAAACACACAGCACAGTGGAGCAGTGTGACTGCATGATCGGGTCATCCGTTCATCAGCCACACAAACGTCAGCGCACATGGATCAACCAGTCGACTCATTGCTGCAGAAACATCGAGTCAGCATGTTTGTACACAGGGAGGAGTTTCAGCTGGATCACGGCTGCTTACGTATTTCAGGATGTCGTGTTGGGACCGCACTGAGGCGGCAGTGACATCAGAGCGGCGTCCCGCTGTGTGTCTGAGGTAAAACAGCATTATTTGACTATCTCACTTGAGCCAAATGCAGCGATGTGGTTGGTCAGATACGCTGATTCAGCTTGGTTTGAAAAGTAAATGCTGCAAATTCTCCCAGGATGCACCTGAGCTGAACAAACTGTACTCCACCATCATCCTGATGAGCCTCAAAGCTCGACAAATACAGGACACACTTCACTCCACATGCTGTCAGCCAGGAACGGGACATTATTATTTCATCTTCATCTGTACGTCTGTGTGATGTGCTTGTTACCGTGTCGGAGGTGGAGGCCTGCTCTTCCTCCCGGCTCTCCTGCTCCTGCCGTGTCTCCACATGGCAGGAGCAGGTGCTCCTGCAGCTTAAGCTGAGAGGAGCAGAGCGTGGAGCAGCGGGAGCACCTGAATGCCTCGCTGCTGATATGCTGCGTGCAGATGTTCTCCTGCATGTCCTCATCTCCACCCAGCACAGCCACAGAGCCTGCAGCACAGACACTCGGGGTCAGTGACAACAGCACAGGAGCTGCTGCTGTGATTCATTAAACCACCAGCTGCCTCTCTAAGACCTAACACAGGAAATCCCAACCATCCACTTACCCAGGTCACGGGGGACTGGAGCCAGGCCTGGGTGACACTGATATCACAGTATTTCTTTGGCCATTTCACAGTACACCATAACCTCCACAAACAAGTGTTTATTCAACCACACAGGGCCTACAACCGCAGTGGTACACTCACTCGACCACGCCGTTATATGAACTGACGTGTGTTGTTTTAACCACCGGGTGCACACAGAGGTTTTCCACAGTGACTGTACTGTGACTCTGTGGGCAACACTGAGCTTTAACTACAATCACAGCAAGGATTCATGAGACCAAACTACTGAAATAATAAGGTGCTCATAACATGAGATGACCTCAGGTACAGAAACCAGAGGTATGCGTGGAACAGTCACAGGTGTCACAGCTGGTGGATTCATCCTGTTCTGTGGGGAGACGTTCACACGTTTAAAACACTGCATTTGTCCTGCAGACAATGAGGAAACGTTCCGGTTGGGAGGGGGGAATAAATGATGCATTCACAGAGTGTGGGAGAAAATCAACTCGCATTGCATGCAGACAGCTTAATATTGCCATGGCAACTTCTACTCGATGGTTATGATCATTTTAACCATCGTACGTGGAAAGCCTCACTGCCCACCCCAGCTGTTCAGTCTAATTGTTGAATGTTGTCCTTGTGCTTCTTAAGTTTGTAAGGTCTGAGTTCAAGCTGTAGGATCAAGACGTTCCTTTGTCCCGGACCACCTCTGCAGCCTCTCTGTGCAGGGGGAGCATGATCACACCTCCCCTGTTTGGTTCCTGCCCTTTGTATGGCCTCACTGTGTTATCTGTGGTGAAGCATGCATTGGACACACACACACACACACAGAGACACACACACACACACAGAGACACACACACGCGCGCACGCACGCGCACACACACCCGCGCGCACACACACACACACAGCAGAGTGAAGCTGACCCCCCCACCCACTTGAAACGTAAAGGCAAATAGGCGGAGCGGTTAGTGCTACGTTTGTGCAGATTTGTGCAGGTAAAATTAGCGTTTGTGCTGCTTCTGTTTTAAAGATATTAATGAAAATGTAAAGGTCAAAAGGTCAACCAGCCCCCCCACATTACCCAAATCCAACAAAAGTGGTATCAAACGTTTGTGCTACGTTTGTGCTGGTTTGTGCTGCAAAAATGTTTGTTTGTGCTGCTAACATTTTAAAATGTTTAATAAAATAACGTCTTGATGCGTGCTTATTCATCCAGGTAAGTAAATCCCAAAAGGTTGATTCTGTTCATCTGGACATTTTCAGTTGGAGAAACGTTTCGTCACTCATCCAAGTGACTTCTTCAGTCTCAGCTGACTGCAGGTTTCCCCAACCTTATAAACACATGTGAGTGAAGTTGCCCCCCCTACCTTCTTCAAATCGAACAAAATTGATGTCAACCATTTGTCCTGCAAATTATTTTGTTTGTGCAGGTTATGTTTCCCTAATTTTATAAACAGTACATGTACAGTGAGAGAGATGTTACATCTGTCTTCACTTGCATCCCAGTCATAGAAGCGTTGGAGGTCGTTCATAAGAGATTACAGGATCACCCCAACCTCAGCAACAGGACCACTCTCAGCACTGATCAGTTGTGTTTGCTTTTGGAACTGTGTCTTAATTCCACCTATTTTGCATAAGGGTCAGTACAGGCAGAAATCTAGGTGTGCCGTGGGTTCCCCCAGGCCCCTGCTCAAAGTCACCAAACCAGTTCGTAAGCAGGTACAGGTGTGGCCAGAAGGGTCCTCAGAGGCACTGCTTTTCCACCACAGGGTGCCACACACGACAACACCACAGACTTTCAGGAATATACAGAAACTGTCACTGCCTACATCCCAAAATGCATCGATGATGTCACAGAGACCAGGACTATCACTGTCTGGGCCAATCAGAAACCATGGCTCACAGGTCAGGTTTAAATGCTCCTAAAGTTGAAAAATACAAGCCTTCAGAGCCGGGAATTAGGTGAGTCTAAGAACAGCAAGGGCAAACCTGTCACGTGGCATCAGCTACAGCAAAGCTTCAGCGACAGCAGAGATACTTGGAGGCAGTGGCAAGGAATACAAACCATCACAGACTACAAGCCCACTCTACAGACCGTGGTGACACAATCCCCAGACAGTGTGTGGAGATCCCTCCACCATCATTACTGAACCCAAGAAGTCATCTATCTCCTGCTTTAAGGACTACCGTCCTGTCAAACTCACCTCCATCATTATTAAGTTAAGTGCTTTGAACGGTTAGTCATGCATCAAATCAAATTATCGCTTTCCCCCAACCTGGATCCATTTCAGTTCGCATACCGGTCAAAACGCTCAACCGATGATGGAATTTCAACTGCCCCTCACTCAGCCCTCACACATCTGAACACTAGAGACTCATATGTCAGAATGCTGTTCATAGACTTCAGTTCAGCATTCAACACCATCATTCCCCAGCAACTCATTCACAAACTGGATCTGCTGGGGATCAGCACCTTGCTGTATAACGGGCTGCTAGATTTCTTGACAGGAAGACAGCAGACAGTACGGGTCGACAGCAACACCTCCAGCCCAAGAACACGGAATACGGGGGCTCCCCAAGGATGTGTGTTGAGCTCCCTTCTCTTCACTCTGCTGACCCACGACGAGATCTACTACAGGGGTGAAGTTAACCATCTGCCAGAGTGGTACAGCAACAACAACCTGTCCCTGAATGTGGAGAAGACCAACAGCGACTCTACTTCCTCTGCAAACTGAGAAGCACAAGAGATTCAACCCCCATTATGAGCACCTTCTACAGAGGCACAGTTGAGAGTATCCTCACCAGCTGCCTCACTGTGTGGTATGACTCCTGCATTGGGTTCTGCAGGAAAAAATGACAACGGGTAGTGAGAACAGCCGAGAGCATTGTGGGGACCTCTCTTGCCTCCCTCCCCAGGAGATCTACTGCACCTGCCTCATCTGGAAGGTCGTCTCCATTACAGGTGACTCCACTCATCCCTTCAACAGCGTCTTCAGTTTGCTGCCATCAGGAAGGATACTGAAGAGCCTCCGAGCCAGAACCAGCAGACTGAGAGACAGCTTCGTCCATCGGGCTGTCAGGATGCTGACCATCTCTGGATCGAGAAGGGGGGCCCAAGGGTACATCTTTCGCCATCCTACAATGCTGTGATTGTAGCCATTCCCCACTTTCTGTGAATGGTACTCATGGCCATTGATCAGTAGGCTTTGATTAGTTGTCATTGATCAATGGTCATAAGAATTTGCATACTAACAATCATGGAACTAACCCCCCGGCACATTGTTCATTCAGTGGCGCTAGTTTCCTTCACTATGCAAATGTACTGTTTATAAGGTTGGGGAAACCTGCAGTCAGCTGAGACTGAAGAAGTCACTTGGATGAGTGACGAAACGTTTCTCCAACTGAATATGTCCAGATGAACAGAATCAACCTTTTGGGATTTACTTACCTGGATGAATAAGCACGCATCAAGACGTTATTTTATTAAAAATTTTAAAATGTTAGCAGCACAAACAAACATTTTTGCAGCACAAACCAGCACAAACGTAGCACAAACGTTTGACATCCATTTTGTTTGATTCCATTAATATGGGGGGGCTGGTTGACCTCTAGAAATTTTTGTTAATATCTTTAAAATAATAACGGCACAAACAAAAATTTCTGCAGCACAAACCAGCACAAACGTAGCACTAACCGCTCCGCCTATTTGCCTTTACGTTTCAAGTGGGTGGGGGGTCAGCTTCACTCTGCTCACGCGCGCACACACGCACGCACACAGAGACACGCGCACACACACGCGCACACACACAGAGACGCGCGCACACGCGCACACACACAGAGACGCGCGCACACGCGCACACACACACACACACACGCGCACACGCACACGCGCACACACACACACACACACACACGCGCACACACACACGCGCACACACACAGAGACACGCGCACACACACAGAGAGACACACGCACACACACACACGCACGCACACACACACACGCACGCACACACACGCACGCACACACACACGCACACACACAGAGAGACACGCGCACACACACACACGCGCACACACACAGAGAGACACGCGCACACACACAGAGACACGCGCACACACACAGAGACACGCGCACACACACAGAGGGACACGCGCACACACACAGAGAGACACGCGCGCACTCACAGAGAGACACGCGCGCACACACACACACGCACACACACAGAGAGACACGCGCACACACACACACGCGCACACACACAGAGAGACACGCGCACACACACAGAGACACGCGCACACACACAGAGACACGCGCACACACACAGAGGGACACGCGCACACACACAGAGACACGCGCACACACACAGAGACACGCGCACACACACAGAGACACGCGCACACACACAGAGGGACACGCGCACACACACAGAGAGACACGCGCGCACTCACAGAGAGACACGCGCGCACACACACACACGCACACACACAGAGAGACACGCGCGCACACACGCACACACACACACACAGAGACACACGCACACACACACGCACGCACACACACAGAGAGACACGCGCGCACACACGCACACACACACAGAGACACGCGCGCACACACGCGCACACACACACACACACAGAGACACGCGCACACACACAGAGACACGCGCACACACACAGAGACACGCGCACACACACAGAGACACGCGCACACACACAGAGAGACACGCGCACACACACAGAGAGACACGCGCGCACTCACAGAGAGACACGCGCGCACACACACACACGCACACACACAGAGAGACACGCGCGCACACACGCACACACACACACACACACAGAGACACGCGCACACACACACGCACGCACACACACAGAGAGACACGCGCGCACACACGCACACACACACAGAGACACACGCACACACACACGCACGCACACACACAGAGAGACACGCGCGCACACACGCACACGCACACACACACAGAGACACGCGCACACACACGCACGCACACACACAGAGAGACACGCGCGCACGCACGCACACACACACAGAGACACGCGCGCACACACGCACACGCACACACACAGCCTTGTCTTTGTAGGGGGGGTCACGAGGGGAGGTACTATTGTATATTGTGAGGCCGTCGTCGGGTCATTTTGTGGCAGACACCGACTGTCTTGTTTTCTTCATGAGGAGTAAGTGTCTAAAGCAGCGGGCTCGTGGAAACACAGACCCAGCACCAGCTATTTGAATCATATCTGTTATTAACCTCTGTCTCTCTTCCACAGCATGTCTTTATCCTGTCTTCCTTCTCTCACCCCAACCAATCACAGCAGATGGCCCCGCCCCTCCCTGAGCCTGGTTCTGCTGGAGGTTTCTTCCTGTTAAAAGGGAGTTTTTCCTTCCCACTGTCGCCAAAGTGCTGCTCACAGGGGGTCATATGATTGTTGGGTTTCCTCTGTATGTATTATTGTGGGGTCTACTGTACAAAATAAAGCGCCTCGAGGCGGCTGTGGCTGTGATTTGGTGCTGTGTAAATAAAGTTGAACAAACTGACACAGGGCCAGAGGCGGTCAGTCTGCACACAGACGATTACAGAGAACACTGCAACAGGAGGCCTAAGATTTTAAAGACAAATGAAATAAATGTTTTATTAATATTTGTGTTTTTACATCTGTAAACGAATGGTGGACATGCCCTCTGCTGTTTGACAGCTGTACAGTGTACTCTCTGGGATCTTTTGCAAACGCAGAGATTATTATTATTATTGTGTCTTTGAATTACAGACAGATTGTGTTTTTGTTGGAGCTCCAGTGAAGGACGGTGCACGTCCAGGACCGGCTGTTACAGGACAGTGCATCAGTGCGGGGCTGGCGCTCACCTTGGTGCTCAGCAGCCTGGTGTTTGGCCAGACTGACAGAACTAGGGAAGAACTTGAAGCAGACATCGCACTGGACCAGGTTCTTGAGCTGCCGGGTGTGGTTGGCAAACACATCAGGGTGGTTAGTCCTGTTGTGGTACCACAGTCCTGACAGTTGCTATGGCAAAAGAAAGGTTGAGAGATGTCACAGACTCTGTAGCACACATGTGTGTGAATGCACGTGAAGATGACACATGAATGTGTGCGTTTAGTTGTGCAGTCACAAGTTGCCCAATACTGTCCTGTGTGGGTCTAAGAGGCCTCCACAGCTGAAACATGAATCCAACACACTGCACTGAGCCCATCCTCAGCCACGCACGGTAACACAATCTGTAACACACTGTTGGTGAAGCCACGCATCGATTGACAGCGTAAAGCGCTTTGGGGTCCTTAGGGACTAGTAAAGCGCTATCCGATTGTTCAGTCTGACGTCACTAGCCGTGTCTGGACCTAAACTCCGCTGCAGGTCCATATATCAAACAATCACTGTGGCATTACTGAGAGTTGAAAAACTGTCTAAAGTCTTTCATCTTTAATAAAATGATCAGCGTTCTGCTCTACCAGGTGTAACAATTGAGTTTAACATCCAGGCATCCATGAAAACGGAATTTATGACATTTAACGGAGTTAGAAGTTAGCAGGGAGTTAGCTCGCTAGCTTCTATCTAAATAAAATATAGCATGTCCTGACTGCGGGGTTTTGGAAACAAATTAAAACGTACAGCTCTGTTATCACTTCCAGCATAAATGAAGACAGAAAACTAAACAGCAGTGACGTTTGTAGGGTTACTGAAGTTGGGCTAGCTGGTATATAATGATGTGCTACGTGACCGCTAGCGACACAGCTATGTTAGCATAATATAAACAAGCTAACTTTTTTTCCACTCGATAAAAGTTAACGTGAGTGTTCTCGGTGGTCAGGAACAAATGTAATCGCATGGCAGGATGCTGTAAAAGGACCAAACTTCAGCCAGGAGAACAACTGAGATAATCCATCCACAATACGAGGTTAGTCATTCATGTACTGCTGCATGGGCTGGGCTGTAGTTACATCCTAAGGTTTTAAAAACTGAGCTTAAATAAATGATTAGCGGTAATAAAAGCCGAGGGAGGTCAACAGTGATCACTGACTGTTTTAGGAGCTTTTTGAGATCAAATAGAAGAAAATACAAAACATTAAACATGTTAACAACACAAAAGCCATATTAAACGCAGACTACTTTAGGCCCAGAAGTAGGATTCGTCGCGTCATCACTGAACAACCGGATATAAATACAGATCATTTACCATTTTACAAACATGGAGTCGTCACGGTGTCCAACTGGCTCGGTGTACCTGGTATGACTTGTTGCAGAGATCACAGCTGAAGGGTTTTGTCCCAGTGTGCGTGGGCTTGTGTTTGTCCAGGAGGGCGGCGCTGGTAAACAGCTTACTGCAGGTGGGACACTTGTGGAACTCCTTGGGGTGAAACTCCTGGATGTGCTGCCGATGCTCGTCCAGCGACGAGAAGCTGAGACAGCACTTCTGACAGTCGTGGGGCTCCGACAGGTCTGACACAGAGCAAACACACCGTCACTGAAACCTGACCAGCACACACAAGCTACCACAGTGTTTGGTGCATTCCCTGAAGAATCCCATTGCTCCCAGTAAGGAAAGGAAACTGAACCTTGGTGCAACCCCTTCATGATGTGTTCTGATAACTGGCACGAGTTTAAGTCGGGCTGCAGCTACACCCGTGTTTCCCCACCTGATGGAGCCACGGCGCACCTACGTGCCGTGGCTCCATCAGGTGGGGAAACACGGCTGCAGTGTGATGATGAAGGTGATTTGTGAAGACCCAGGCAGCAGATCTGATCCACGCTTCTACTGGGTTTCACACCATTAGTACATATGAGACTGTTACTGGCATTGGTGAGATGTGAGGCCCCGGCAGGACCTGAGAGGTCGTCTGCGAGGCTGAAGACACGACGTCTGACGTGTCAGTAATAGTCACAGGGCAGCGATCAGCTGGGACGTACAGGTGCAGTCGGCCTGAAGCTGCTACAGGAACACGTCCGCCTTTGACAACATGGCTGTTAAATGAAAAGTGCCCCACCCCAAAAACAGCTGCATGTATGGATCATCAGTGCCAGTCCTTCATATGTCAGAGAAGCCAGTATGTAAACGCAGATTTCCAAACTTTACTGCAAAAACGTTCTTACGGTGGAAGGTGTGCAGGTGCACAGTGAGCCCGCTGGCCTGGCTGTAGCCTTTGCCACACTCTCGGCATACGTAGGGCCGGTCTCCCGTGTGCGTCCGCACGTGACGCGTCAGCTCTATGGACTGGGCGAAGACAGCCTTGCAGTACTGGCACACATACATCTTCCCTGGAAAATCAAAGAAGCACACAAATGTTGTCTGTACATGCTGCATGATAGAAATACTGCATCTGTGCACGCTGTTGGTTTCTGGGTGTTGCACAGCAAACAGCCTGGAGGAGCCAGGACACCCTCTGATTGGCTCGCCGCCGCGCCGTCATCACACAGATGCAGTGAGACCCAAAGGCCTTAAAGGTGGGCAGAAAAGTACAAAACAGCACAGCCAGACTGGAAACTGCCCAGTTTGGCTGCGCTGTTGTGTTTTGTTGTCCACAGACTCGAGCTGAGTCGCACAAACCTCTGTGCGTCTGTGCGACTCTCAGCTTCTCTGCAGGATTATTATTGAAATGCTGCTTTTAAAAAACATTGTACGCTCGAGTCTTCAGCGCGGCTGCGACGCACATCAGCCTCCTGTGTGTTTGTGTCACACGGGAGGTTATAAGCTGCCTGCTCAGCTGCCTCTCTGCGTTTGGATGGACCGCAGCACCTTCTGCTTGTTATGTTTTGCACATTTCACCAAATGAAGCTCTGTTTAGGTACTTTGTCGGCTTCATTTAGCACATTTTTCACCACTGCTGCTTTTTACACTTCAGCTGGCTGGTTGCTGATCTTATACCATTAAGCTCATTCATCAAATTCTACAAACATCTGAAAGCATTTCAGTCTTCAGCCTGTGTTTCTGCTGGGAAAGGCTTGTTCCAGGTAGTGTGACTGCCGATGAAGCGCTCCATGTTCCTCAGCTATTCCACCACCACTAGATTCCTCTTCTTTTGTCATGTGTGCTGGTGTGTTTCTTATTTCTAACTTTATATTCAACTTTATTCAACAAATTTCCACAAATCCATCCAAGATTCATCTGAAGCGTGATCCTTCAGCTTCATCTTTGAAGGCAGTGACGTCCTCCCACTGTGTGGGAACCAGTGTCTCCAGTGGGAACCAGTGTCTCCAAGCCTATCCTTGTTTCCTGCTGTTCTCTAGCAACACAAACCTCCAGCAGCAGCATCACAGCAGACTTTTTAATGTGATAATTATACGACCTTGTAGTTTACTGTTATATTCCTATGTTCCTTATAGATTTGAATCACCAGTTGAGTCACATGATCTGTGACACGGGATCTCTTAGATTAGCCCGATCCTGCCGACAGCACACCTTCATGTGGACGTGAAGGGGAAACCCCGGGTTGGTTTACAGAGTCAGAACCTGATGGACATGTCAGGGTGAATCCAGATGAAGCAAACGAGCTGTGTAGCACAGGTCCTTGGGTCCAGCTCAGCCTTGATTCATGCTTTTGGAAAAGGCTTCAGGCTTAAAGCTGCTCTTTGAGCTCTGTCTCCCAGTAACACTCTCCTAAAACCCAGTCTAACCCTGCAGTGGTCGCCCACTGTCTTTAATAAACACAGACCTAAAAGTAATGACCACAGCCCTGCCCACTACAACAGCACAGTCACCTCAACTGGAACAAAAGAACCATACTGGTGCACTGTGATGATGCGCGGGACTCTACAGCTCCACACTGACACCACTAAGGTGGATATCACAGCCAGCCAAACGGAGCTTTTCAACCTCCACGCTTTGTGCCATCCCTCCTTCCTCTCTCTTTCTCCCCTTGGTTTCCTTGGTGATAGGTGTGTCACCTATCAATAACATCATCATCATAACTCTGTGGGTTTGAAGTCTCAACACTTTATCTCTCTGGTTTGTCCTGGATGTTGAATCTTTGTTTTGTTCTTGTATCAGTGACAAGCTGTTACACGTGAAAGACACATATCACCACTTGTATATCACACAACCCCAAATGTGTGTGTGTGTGTGTGTGTCTTACCCTCAGAGTGTCTCTTTTTGGTGTGGTATGCAAGTGCAGCAGCCACGCTGAAGCTCATGTCACAGTGCTTGCAGTGGTAGGGTTTCTCCCCTGTGTGCAGCCTCATGTGATTCTTCAGAGATGAGTTTGCACCAAACTTCGCGCCGCATTCATCACAAGCAAACGGCTTCTCTTCAAAGTGCTCAGTGCGCTTGTGGTAAATCATACCTAAGAAATGAGAAGCACTCATTAAATGGAACAAAGTGAAACGATCGCTGTGCTGTGACGCGCGAGCTGGCCCCAAACTGAGCTCAGAGTTCATGTTACGACAGATGTGATCTTTCCCACAGTCCTTTTGCACACGGCAGCACACGTTTGCTGCCTACGCTGTACGCACTGCAGCTGTGCTGACCAGAGTCGAGTGCACAGCGGGGAAACCACACATCTGTCAGGTACGGTGTTCCTGCCTTAGAAGGTTTCTTTGCTGGTGAAATGACCTGTTTCAGGTCCTTTTGAGATTTAGACTGTAGCCTAGCAGCAACATCAAATGTAAAGCAGCACAAAGTTATACTCCACTCACACAGCAGCAGCTAGCAGTGCTGGCTGCCAGCTCGCAGCTTCCATCTCTGACTGGGATTAAACCAGCAGCCCCATGTTTTCATTACATTCGTATTTACCTGATAATTCAGGTAGTGTTACTGCTTGTGACGCTTCTGTATAGTAAATGCTGAAACCAGAAGCCATAATAAGAAACACGTCAGTACCTCATCGACGGTTCCTGCTCTGATCATTATCAAACACCAACACTGTGGATGCAGCCTGAGAACAGCTGTGAGATCAGCACGCCGTTTGCTCCAGCACAGACACTGATCACATCAATAATCTTGCTTTAATGTCACGTGACTTTACCCGACGGGTGGGCGAAGGTGCGGCCGCAGAGGTCACAGGCCGCCTTCTTCTTGACCCGCGTGGCGCTGCGGTGAGCCTCGGCCCGGTGGCGCTGCAGGGCCCGCTTAGACAGCTTCTCAGGACACTCGGGACACTGCTGCTCACACTCCTGGGACATGGAGCAGCGCTTCATGTGTGCTAGCATTCGACACTTGTAATCAAAGCTCTTCTTACACCAGTGACAGCAGTAAGGTTTGGCGTGACAGGAAGCAGGAGAGGAGCAGGGAGGGGAACACTCGGTTGCTACAGCTGCATCTTCCTGCTCCTCCTTGTCACCGTTTTCATCTTCTTCCTGGACACGATCTTCACTCCTGTTCTCCTGCTCTGAGTCAGCTGCAAACATGGACGACAGACTCAAAATACGTAGAAGACATCCACTAAAAAAGCTTCCTATCACATCCTGTCCATTTGCTGGACGGACACAAATGTATATAAATACCGAGCTGTCCTTAATGAAGACAGACCTACACATCGTCTTTCATGTTACTCCCGGTGCTCGTCTTTACCTCCAGTGTGGCTGCCATCGGGCTGCCGTACGCTCCTCTCCAGCTCCTCCAGCAGAGGGAGCAGCTGTGTGGGACAGGACGATGAAGCTTTCTGCTTGGCGGTGCGCAGCAGCTTGATAAGCCCCTCCTCTCCGATCTGACCCTCTTTCACTTTACTCATCAGCTTCTCCGACACGGAGCTGGGATCAGCCTCCTCACAGCACCGACACACAACCTGAGAGAGCACAAAGTGCAAACAAAATGAAATTGTGGAGCAGCAGCAACCTTCCAGTCAGTAGATGGCGCCCTCGAGCTACAGCCAGGTGCCGTCACAGCTGTAGCTCAGAGCGAGTTGTGCGCTCACAGTACACTGACCATGAGGTGGTGCGGTCAGCGAAATGGGAACAGAAATGTGCTTTTGGCTCCAGTACGTGGAGATACACTGTTACTGTCGTCGTCTTCTATGTGGAGCCACAACTGTGCTCGAGTGATTCCTGACACTGTCCAACAAAGGGGGACAGCCTGGAGAGCTACTGTTCAGGGCTCAAACATGTTAAACAACGTGCAAGGGAGGGGTTCTCAACCCGCGGCTCTGGAGCCACGCGGGGCCTGGGACAATGAATACATTAAATAAATTAATAGTGTTTAATTGAAACGTGTTTATTAGTGTTAGTGACTTCTACACTGGGAGATTACTGTGATCTTGAAATATGAAATTTAAATGATATTTGATTATTTTTCGTCGGTCAAACGAGCGCCACACTTCACCTCAGGAGGCCACTGTCACTGAGAATAACTGCAGTGATGCTGAGGTAACCGAGACGTGGAACGGCATCCCGACACGAACGTGTGGATCCTCAGCTCCACAGACGGAGGTGAGCAGCTGCTCTCCACCCACGCCTCACAGACGACAGCGGGAACTTCCCATCGTCCCGTTAACCAGGTAAGATTAATATTTATGATGATGCAGATATTTTTCAGTGACACAGAGATTTGTTTCCAATGTATTAAATTCAGCTCGAGGCTCAGGAGGCTCAGAGGCGAGATGACCGTTAGTTTGCTACGTGAATCCTTCCAGCTTGTTATTGTGTTGGTTTCTTGTTAGTATTTTAGTACATAAAGAAAATGTAGTTTTCTCTGTAGCACTTCATGTGTTTCATAAGCAACACACTTTGTATGTCGTTGTTTCTACAAAGCATGAAGGTCAGTATTTACAGGGGCATCTTCATTTTGGATGTGTTTGCAGCTCGGTGGCTTTTTTATGAAACCGGGTCCAAACGGCTCTTTGGGTGTTAAAGGTAGCCGAGCCGTGAGCTAAGGTGGTATTAGATGGAGTCAAACTGTAGAAGAACCAGGGCTTCCTGTTGTACCTGTCGCTCTCTTTCTGTCAGGCTCTCTGCTGCTTGGCTCAGCAGTTCCACAACAGACGACGTGTTGGCGAGGAGACCAGACTCGCTGGACAGCCTGGCTGCCGACGTGTCGCCACCTTCTGAGGATTTGATGTCTTCGGGCCCTGTGGACAGAAAATAAAGTCTAGTTGTTATCTTGTTTATTGTAGGGAGACTATTTTAGACCAGGCGTGGGCAACTCCAGGCCTGGAGGGCCGGTGTCCTGCAGGTTTAAGATCTCATCCTGGGTCAACACTCCTGAATCTCATGATGAGCTCATTAGCAGGCCTCTGGAGAACATCTGGAGGTCAATCAGCTGTGTCGGATCAGGGACACACCTAAAACCAGCAGGACACCGGCCCTCGAGGCCTGGCGTTGCCCACGCCTGTTTTAGACTCTATTTCCAGTAACGTGTGATTTGAATTATTCCTAGATCGACTCACACTATTAAATTCCCCAAACTACGGGTTTAAACATAAGAATGACCTGATGTGTCAGGGAGCTCCACGCGGGCCCTTTTAATCGCCGGCTCGTCATCGCGGTCATGCTCAAACGATTCTTTTTTCAGCTCGTCCGTCACCTCCGCCTCGTCTGAAGACGGGTTGTGCTTGCTGGGCGAGGCTGAGCCTTCAGGCTTCATATTCGGGGCTTTGTCGGTCACGGTGAGGTGTGGCACAGCGGAGCTCACTGATACCGGGGGCTTCTGGTTCACCAGGCTGGTGAGGACTTGCTTAAAGCCAACGGCCACGTCATACATCTGCAGGCTGTCTGCAGCGGCGACTATGCGACTGACGTTGTGTTTACCTGGAGGCAGTTTACCAGTGTAGACCATGTCCAGGAGGCAGCCAAACTCCTGCGAGGAAACCACAGCTGTGTCGATGGAGATGGTGTCGGAGCCATCCAGGAGAGACCTGACGGAGACAGCACCGTTCTGCTTTTAAGCTGCAGTGTAATAAAAGCGAACAGCGACTGCAGCAGCCACCTGTACACCGTGCTGGCATCAATATTAAAGTATGACGGGAGCAAACACAAAGAGCACATCTGTAACAGCTGCTCATAAACTTTACTCACGTGTTAGATTTCATGGTCCTCAATAAACACATTTTTAAAAAAGCCAAACTAAAAGTTCATGAGCTGAATTTGACTCATTCTTCCACAGGAGCGCTGCTGAGATTAGATGAACGACTGTAAGGTCCAAATATGTGACTGCAGAAGAGTCACCAGGTCTACCTGAAAAGCATGCTGGAGGCAGCCAGCACCAGTTTATGTGCGCGATGACGACCCTCTCCCACCAAGATGGTGCAGTCGCAGAAGTGCTCGTCCTTCCTCAAGGCCCACAGCTGCTGCATCAGCTGGCTGCTGTAGTTGGGTAGCTCCATCATGTTGGTTTCAGGGCGACTGCACCAACCACAGCTGTAATCGTTTCATGTCCAAACACACAATCAGGCCTGCAGCATTATCACAACTCATCACTGGTACTTTTCACTAAAACTGCGTTTATAGCGTACTCACTCTGTGCGCCGGCAGCACGAGAAAGACTCACACAAAGCTGCAGTTTATCCGACTACTGTGTAAAAAGCTAATGTTTTTATTACAACATCAACTAGTGTATGAAGCACCACGTGATGCCGGACACGGTAACGCGTGGTGTCTTATCAGCAACTAACGTTCAGTCTTCTTAAACAGTGTTTACCGGAATGTAACTAGCTGTAGCCTAGCTAAGGTTGCTAATGTGCTCCAGAGAAGCTAACTAGTTCCTGTAATATTAGTGAAGCACGCTGCGATACAGGAGCGCTCCCAGTAGAATAAACCCCAGACCATCACTAAGGGCTGTACCTTGAATTATTCAATCCGAGTCTTTATTTAAACTTCTCTGCTGAACAATTCTGCCGTGCGCAATAAAGCTCAACTGTTTTGAAAATGGCGACACGCAGTACGTGAACAAATTGCGACACTTCCGGTTGAAGAAGTGTCATCACAGCGAGCGGTTCGCTTTAAATCTGTTTGTATGACCGTTGGGCCTTCACCGGAGCAGTCATTCAGGGACGTGCGGTGTGGGCTCGTGTCAAACAACAGCTCCACAGCTCATTACAAATATATTCTCTCAAAATTATTAAATTAACGACAAATACATAAAAGCTTTTGCCTGGAACAAGAATCTGTTATATATTCGTAATACAGCGGATGTTCCCCGGGCACTGGACCGGTACCGGTCCGTGAGTCGTTTGGCACCGGGCCGCGAGAGTTGAAGCTCGGGTGTGAAATGTCTGGTTTCCAGGGGGTTAGTCGTGTTGTAGGTGCGTCTTATTTTGAAAGAAATACGTACCCGTTACTATAGCGACCAGAGAGCATTAAGGGGCAGAGAGGACGTTACCGTCAGTGTTGGCGCGTTTCAGCAGCACGCTGCTAACAGACAGTGAATTCACGTTTACCGTTATATTTACAAAATACCGCCGCGGTTCTCTCGGTCGTATCCTTTTGTTGTTGCATTTGTCCGCCACACCTTAAAGGCCGCTCCGTGACGGTCTGACGTTAAACCGTCCGGGGAGCACAAGAGGCTGCGCACCGCTGGTTTAGATGTTCACCACAGCGACTGTTGCTTTGAACATTTCTGACTTCCTCTCAGTTCACTGCATTTGTGGGATGTTTCAGAGAGCACTCGATGCAAACCAAAGCATGACTAGGACAACAACAGTTTAACAAAGAGTCCTTCAGTTATCTTCGGCCCAAGTTCAAGAACTCATTAGTTCAGTGGTTCACTAGAATTGAGATAACAAGAACATTTTGACAGGAAAATAACGGTGCAGGTTTCAACTACTGAGACCATGTCTGATCCAATGAGCAGCCGTAGTAGATGACTTATTGGACATCTGTAGTAAATGTGATATTTGCTTTCTATTCATGCAGAAGTATCAAGAAAACAAAAAGCTGCTGCACCGTCTCATCTACAGAAAATATACAATAGAGCTGAGGCAAGACCCGTGATGCTGTGTGAGGAAGTTAGGAAGCACAGAAAAGTGAGGGTGGGAGTAACAGATGAAGTCTGTATGGCCTGTGATACCCACAGACACTGAGCTACAGTGTGTGTGCAGAAAGACCAATGAAAATGGGTAAAAGAACATGAGGCGGGTGGAAAGGTGAAACTGGAAGTAGTGAATGTGGGCAGGCTTAAATTCCTGGTGTCAAAAGCCCAACGCAGCACAGTGCACAAGAGAGGAGGTGAAGGTGCAGGTAGGGTGGAGAGGTGTTGGTGTAATATCTGAGAGGGAAGGTTTACAAGATGGCAGCGAGAGCCGCTCTGATGTTTGGGCCCGAGACGCAGCACTGACGAGAGGCGGAGCTGGAGGGCGTGAGATGCTTGTAGTGAGTGATGAAGATATGAAAGGGACAGCACAGGCGGGAGTTTGGAGACAGAGGCGCGGCTGGCATGGTTTATACATGACCTGCTGCCAGGCAGGAGGAGAGGAAGACCACAGAGGAAGACCACAGAGGAAGACCACAGGGATGCAGTCCAGCCAGGTAACAACAGACCATCTCGGAACAGGACGATATGATCGCAGACGACCTGCTGCTGCAACCTGGAGCAAGTTCATTCATTTGCTGTTAGTGAACACTGATCAGCAAGTATCCCATGAACTGACACAGACGTGTCAGGCCCTGAATGAACTCAACATTATGAAGGCAGGGTGCTTTGAAAATAACTTTATTGTTTATAAGAAATAACAGTGAAAAGAAGACAACGTGTCACTGCTTACATTTGTTTCTCACCATTTCATTCTCTCCAGCGTATGATTTCCATACTTTGTAGCTATGTAACTGCAAATGCCACATCGAGTGTGTGTGTACAAACACACACATATGCTTATATATACACATACATATACATTTATATATGTATATATAAAATGACTGTGTGGAGGTAATACATGTTCTAAGATTTATGAGCCAGTATATTTGCAATAATTAACAGTAACTAGTGCATTCTTCTGACAAACCTGAAAACGCTGCAGTTACAAGATAAGCTTACACACAACAGAAAGAAAGAGCATCATCTTCAATTTGTCTTCTGTCATAATTTAAAAGATTGAAAAATAAAACATTTTCTTGACCCACAGCAGATCTGAGCTGAAGCCAGGTCTCAGAGTGCAGCGTCTCCAACCTGCTTTCTTTACAAACGTTCGTATCACAGGCCAGACAACCTCATGTAGAGGAACTTTGCAAGATAGTCACAGTTTTATCAAAGAAAGCCTACTCAAAAGGTAGAAAAACAAAGTACAGAACAAATTTAAGAGCTTATTTATATGGACACAACATATTCAAGCTTTTTTAAACTTTCCATCCGTCATCGTTCCAGTTCAAGCACAGCTACAAACAGCTGTCCTCAGTGGCCGAGCAGCCCGGTGCCTAGAGGAGGTCACAGTGATTAGAAAGAAATACAAACACTGTCCGGTCACACGCTGTGTCACAGGTCTGTATGACGAGTGATATGATGAACTACACATCGTGGCAAAATACAGTTTATGGCAATATTTCTTTCTCTTCTACCGCCCCCACAAGAATCACGTGACAGTACGAGAAAGAGCCGTCAGCTGCTCCAAATAAAGCTCAGACTCAAACGTTAGAACAGGCTTTCCCCCGCAGCACGCCGTGTAATAAACACTCACATCTAAACATGTTAGCTTCATGCGTGGGCCAACACACTCGACACCCAGCTGGAAACACTTCACACAGGTCGAGGTCACAGAGTTTACAGTGAAAGCACTACTTTGTGACGTGTGGTTATCAGGATGAGAAATGTCTTATATGAGAGTTTGGTCACATTGCACAGCCCTAACACCAGCTGTTTGTGAGTCCTTGGGTTTATGTCTGTGAAGGATCTCAGTCGTCCACGTCCTCATAGTCCAAGGAGCTTGGAGAGAAAAGCGTCTGGACTTCTTTAAGTTTCTCAAAGACGTTTTTAAGATCTCATCCGAGAAGCTTCTTCAGTTCTGAGGAAGCTTCTCGTCTTCAACGAGCTTTCCAAGCTCATTAGACTTGACTTTATGCTTTCTGCTGCTGCCAACTTGTGGATGGGACTGGGAAAACAAGGACACTGGCTGCCTGCTGAGGCGGGTAGGCCTGTCTTTAATAACACGCTGGGTTAGGCTGGGATTGTAACAGCGCTCATCATTAGAAAACAAACACGTCGTCTCTCGTTATACAGCAGCAGCGCTTATGCATTCACACACATTCATACTCCGATCAGCTGGTTCAGTATCCAAGGATACTTTGGCATGCAGACTGGAGCAGCCAGGGATCCAGTCAGTGCAGGGGTGTCCAACTCCAGGCCTGGAGGGCCGGTGTCCTGCAGGTTTTAGACGTGTCCCTGACCTCCTCAACATGTCCTGAAGTTCTCCAGAGGCCTGGTGATGAACTAATCATGTGCTTCAGGTGTGCTGACCCAGGGTGAGATCTCAAACCTGCAGGACACCGGCGCTCCAGGCCTGGAGTTGCCCACCCCTGACCTACAGCCAGCACTACCTGTGGCTCTCCTGCAGCTATTAGACAGAGGGCGTATATACAGCCTGTTTCAGACACAAAGAACTTGGGACAGCCCACATGTGGTTCCTATTCCCAACATTTGGGCTTGTTAGTAAGAAAGAGTTTACTGGTGTCATTCCAACTAACGTATTTCACTTTTTTCCTTCACCTGCTCCATATCCCAGCTGCAGTGGCTCTGTGCCCTACACTGTGACCCACCACTATTATGTTTGAAGTAAAACATGCTCACCTTTAAATCCCTCCTCAGGCATTCTCACTGTGAACAAAGAGGAACAGCCAATTTAAGAAAGCAGTCCTTCTTTTAATCCAGCTGTAGTGGAAGCAAACACAGGCCTACTTACCTTGATAGACATCATCCATTGCAGCGTAATCTGCTATTGGCTCATCAGCCTGCAGCCAAACAACAGAACATATTTGGAGGAAAAGGAAAACGTACGGGATCCCACTGTAGACGTCAGATTATCGTTCTAGCGATTGTTGTGTCAGGATGAGGAAACTGTGATGTGTACCTTCAGACAGATGATGCTCTCCGGGATGATTCCCAGGCTACCCAGTGTGGCTGAGTCATCTGTCAGACTTTTTCCATCAATGAAGAGATTTTGGTCAAATGGAGCCACAGAGAAGGCGTGCATGATCTGGACAATGACAGGCACAGTGGATTTAGTCTGGTCAAACTGGCCCACTCACTACTTTGTGTTCAATAATCTGAATTCCTCACTTGTATTTTCAGCTCTTTCAGAGTCTGATTAGCTGAAACGATGAGCGCTTTCTCTCCTCGGAGTTTCCTGTGTCGGGTGCTCCTCCTGATTCCACCTGGTTTGGCCACGTTGGTCACAACACCAGCAGCAGCTGTGGACACACTGCTGTCACTCAACTTTAGCCGTTTTGCACCGTCCTGTGACTGAAAGAAACAAAGTCTTCATTTGTAACAGATGATGAATTTGAGTCAAAGATACAAGTCTTAGGGGAAACCCCCCCAAAAGACTCAGGGACATCTGTGCGTGCTGCTAGCAAAGGACTAGCAAACTAAATGGGTTTCTTCAAGGTCACGTGAGGTTTTAGAGCCGTCACAGCAGAAGTGACTGTAAAAACAAACTCCTAGATTTAGCAGCAGCATCATTACTCAGACATTTCTTGTAGCTGCTTAGCAGACTTGCACTATAATGAGATATTTTTGTCTGGGTTCATTCATATTTCTCAGTCGTGTTAGTGCAGAGAACCTGCTGTAGCCTTTCTCTGCTGACAGCTTTGACGACATCGCTCGTTGTTGAGCCGAGACGTCCTGCCACTGAATGTAATTACTGAGACCTTTCTCTTGCAGACGCGTGGTGCTTGTGTGGTTACCTGGCTGAAGTCGGGGTCTTTCTCACCATCCAGTTTGGGATGTTCTTCCTTCTCCTCCTCTG